ATGCCAAGCAACTCCGAAGAGATTGACAGAAGACATAAAAGGCCATGAAGCCACCTCATCTTAACTATTTGGGGTCAGATCCTTCTTGGTGAGGCATGCCAACAGCTGGCCTCACTTTGTTTTTACTTCAGATGGGGTGTGATTCTGTGTGTGTGTGTTTTTTTCCTACCCACCGTGTCCATCTGAGAATCAAAGCCAGGGCCGTGCCGTCCAGCCATGACAAAATGCCCTTCTTAGGGAATGAATCACATCAGCTGCTCACTTTAAAGCTTTGAGACCGCACGTGTCATTAGGATGTCGGCTGGAGGCTGAAGTAAACCTGAAATATTAATTTCTTTCTGAATGCAAAGACTACTGGCAGCAAACTACACCACACCAACCGCAACTGATAAAATGTCGCTGTTGTCGGAAGAAAACCTTGTATCTCCATTTTTTTACATTTTTCAGTTTTTAACATAATTTGAAAATGCCTGTTATCCTTTACATTGTATGTAAAATCCATGATGAATGGACTAAAAGAAAGAACCTAAAATGACTTGTGAATGAATGAAATTCTGGTTCCATTGACTTACATTAAAAGTAAAGTATGTTTTTCCTTCCCCTGTAAAGTCACCATTTTGGAGATACGAGGTTTTCTTCCGACAACAAAGATATGTATGTCTTCAATGATGGTTACACTTACTTTAAATACATATTGTGGAACAACAGTGAGACACCAAACTCCTTGATGTGGCTAAAGAAACTCCTCATAAATCCTATCTGAAAAAAAGTCTCTATAATTTAAAGAAAAAGCAAAAGACTATTGAAAAAAAATTGGGGAAACTGTCACTTTTATGTCATTGTCCATAGCTTGGACAACCTATAATGTGATGACTAATCATGATGTGTGTGTGTGTGTGTGTGTGTGTAGGTATGCACACATCACTTTAATAAGGCCCTTTTTTATTTTGGCCGTTTCTCAGATTGAGTTGAGTAGGGAAATTATACGATTCAACATCCAGTATTGTTAATAAATGTAATATCTGAACGTAACACACTGGGCCTCATTCACCAATATGTCCCAAAGTTTATCCTCAAATATGTTCTTGAAAAAAGAAAAAGTTTACATCAGATTTATGATGTGTTTTTAACCCTAGATTTTTGGGGATGGGTCAATTACAATTGCAATTATAAAGTATTTACATGAGACTCTCACACATGCCATATTTTGTTTTTTTGGAGACCCTGGGCTACTTAGATATGCCACTGTTTGTAAATGCTAACTGAAATTTAAGATCTAAGAATTTGGGTAATTTTTGATCATAAATTTACTGAGCGCCTGCAAAATTTTTTGTAATTTTTTCCTTAAAGAGATCGTGAAAACAAGTTGCACCTCTACAGAAGTCCACAAGCTGTTGCTATAATTTTCTGGATTGTTATCTCGAGATAACAAGATAAGTAACTCGTTATTTCAAGATAATTTTGTTATCTTGAGATAAAAAGATAACTCGTTATTTCAAGATAATTTTATTATGTTGAGATAACAGGATAAGTAACTTATTTCAAGATAACAATTTTGTTATGTTGAGATAACAAGTAACTCGTTATTTCAAGATAATTTTGTTATGTTGAGATAACAAGGCAAGTAACTTGTTATTTCAAGGTGATTTTGTTATCTTATATAACTTGTTATCTCAGGATAACAACTTTTGTTATCTCGAGATAACAAGATAAGTAACTTGTTATCTCAAAATAACAATTCAGAAAATTATAACTACCTCATGGCCTCTACAGACTTCCATACAGCTCAGATACCTTTTCAGAAGTTGTTAGTCTGGAGTGTCTGTGAGCTGAAAGTGCAGGAACTTTGATGGTGATTCATTCTGTTGGTTGTTATGAGTAAAAATAAGAAATTAGCATAAGGCGGACATGCTTTTTACTGATTTTCTGACCCCATGGATTCATACTGAGTGCCAAAACAGGCTTTATTCCTAAAGCACAGAACAGTTCTCATCTCTGTGCTCTTAAATGTGTGTGCAGATTCTGTTCTTACCTAAAAACAAACCTCAAATAAGAAAACACAAGAATAAATTTCTTCTTAAAACCAGCTGGTGAACGAGGCCCGTTCTCAGTAAGATTATACAGCACTAACGCAACTATGGGGTCCTTTTAAAAACAAGATACAACAGAATAATAAAGCGCTTTATCTACTGCAGTGCAACAACTGGCAGCAGGCAGGCAGGCCTCCTACTAAGACGCCTCACATGGGGGAGCGGAGAGGAGAAGATGAGAGAGCACACTGGTGCAAGACATCACTCAGCCTGCCTTCACACTCCAAACTGAAGGAATATTCCCAACGGGCGTTTTATCTCAACGATTTTAAGCGAGCTCGGATCATTTGCATGCATCGCACCACCACTATGCGTCTGCAGAAGCTGTGGCAGCAAGAGCGACTGACTGCTGCCAGCACAGACTGAGAGGCTGTGTCGAGGGAAGAGGCTGAAGAGAGGAGAGAGGAGAGGAGAGGAGAGGAGAGAGGGATTCTTCAAGGCGACGCCGTCGACACAGCGCGGATACATTACAGCAACCCCAACACTCAAAATACGACACGGGCTGAGCGACACCGCGCTCCGGGCTGAGCGAGCCGCCCGTTAGGCTGGGTATTTCTTACCTCATGGCGCTTTTTCTCTGCAGTTTTCACAGCTGAACCGCGGAGTTGTGAGGATTTCGCCGAGTTTGGGTAAAGTTCTGCACTTGACCACGACCACCACAAAGGATACCACTGGAACGCCGCGGGGACCAGAGACGGAGCGAATATCCAACAAAGTATAAAATAAAAACGAAAAAATTTTTAAAAAAGCACTCCGGTCTACATTATCAGCAAGCTGTGGAAAGTGAGTGAGGAAAATGTAGAACTGCGGAAAAAAAAATAAAAATGTTGTCGATGTTTCAGCGCCGCGGCTCTCGGTTGCTAATAGCGGCAGCGTGCCGCTGGGGTCTCCCTCCTACGGCTCCGCGACTGACGCAAGCCTTTTCTCAACTACGTGCCTCACGTAAGGGACGCAAAGGCCCCATAGCCACGCCTCCGCGTATAATCACCATACAGGCCCGTTCACCGTGACCACGCCCCGTGCGCGTTAGCCACGCCCCATGTAAATTTGGCTATAAAAACCAGTCCCCCTACGCTGAGGACCGTGGAGTGAGCCGTTAGTGAACACAGAGCAGCGGCATAGCGCCACGATGTGGGCACAATAATACAAAATGAATATTTTTTACCAGTTGGAACTGTTAAAGATACTGTTTGGAAGCATAATTAAAATTTGACATGCACAAAAAATAATTTAAATGTAAATAAATATATTAATTTATTTAAAAAGTGTACTCTGTAAAAAGTATTCTCAGTGGCCATAGCCAAAAATAATAGGGCTGAGTAATATGACAATGAAGTATGTCACAGTACGATGTTCTGAGCATATTGTGGATATCATGAGAACTTATGAAACTGACTGTTTCATTAAAACGAGAGCATAATTAGGAGTGTTTACTTGGATTTGGTGCAGTACATTATATGTTAAAAATGACTGTACTGTAGTATTTTTATAGTACTGTACACTTTACTACTGTTTTTTTAATATGTCGTATTTTTGAAAGTGGAACTGCTGGTACATTCTCAGAAAAACTAAATATATATGTAATCTCATATACACATATATATATATATATATATATATATATATATATATATATATATGTGTGTGTGTGTGTGTGTGTGTGTGTGTGTATCGCTGTTGTCTGAAGAAAACCATGTATCTCCAAAATGGTAACTTTACGGGAGAAGAGCTTTTTCATTTTGGGCCGTTTCTTTTGCTCGATTCATCATGAAATTTACATACAATGTAAAGGGTAACAGGCATTTTCAAATTATGCCGAAAACTGAAAAACGCCAAAAACGGTGATAAAAGGTATATATATCCATCCATCCATCATCTAAACCGCTTATCCTTCTGGGTCACGGTGGGGTGCCGGAGCCTATCCCAGCTGTCACCGAGTAGAAGGCAGGATACACCCTGGACAGGTCGCCAGTCCATCGCAGAGGTATATATATATATATATATATATATATATATATATATATATATATATAGTATAGTATAGTATACTACATGTACTCATGCACTCTATAGGATACACTTTCTCTCTCTCTCTCTCTATATATATAAAAATATATATATATATATATATATATATTGCGTATCATGAAAATGTCTTCAAAGATTGTAATATGTCATATAACATATAACAGGAGAAATAATTAAATAAGATCATTTTCATTGTTTAATATATTTGATAATAAACAACACCAGGGCACAGGTTCAGTTGTACTGCTTGCACTGACATGGATCCAAAGTGAAGAAGAACGCTACATCCTATACAGTAGAATACTGTAAAGCTTAAGTTAAACATAGACCTGTCTACACTGTAAAAGGAGTCCAGAGGGATGTACGCAGTGGTAACAGAAGTAAGGGGTCAAGGATGTGACGGTTTAACACAGGTGGCTAAACCCTGTGACTTGAGCAGTGTTAGATCACCCACGTCTCTGTTTCCAGCTCTGTAATCCGTATCTGCCGCTCTCACAGTACGTCCCTCTGACATAACTGCGGCTGGTGTGAAGTGCATGTCCTCCCGCTTTTAAACAGTTAAAATGTAGATAAACAACTTAAAAATAAGTACTGTAAAATGACATAACTGTAAAATATGGATGTTTTATTGACAGATATTTGCAAGTAAAAACTGGTTGATTTTACAAACAGCAGTAATGTGGCTGAATCATGTGATTCCCCTTCAAATATGCTCAAATAGAGTAGCCAAAAATATCTTTATTCGGTTCATTTGAGTGTACATTAGTGCCAGGAGTTCAGAAGATATACGTTTAATTTTCTGAAGTGCCAAAGGATGACAAACCTGACAGCTGGTTACAGAGCTGTTAAATAACAGCTTTATCAGCATTATTTTACGTGCTTCTCTGACAACCACACCATTATACTGCCATCTGCAGGAAGCTGTTGGAATAATCAGTGTTGGTTGAGCTTACACATCAACAGTTAAAGAATGGCACAGTAAAAGCAAATTTAGCACAAATGTTTAACGCAGGTCACTTAAACATCAGTTAACAAAGCAAATACAAATTAAAAAATTAAAAGTCTTTAAAAAATATGCTTTATAATAGCTAAAGGGAATATATTTTTCAATGTGCAACTTCTAAAGTAAAAAAAAAAATCTGTCCAATTAAATACAACAGCAGATGTTTAGACCATATAAAGTCACTCACTGTTGTTATCCTCTAGCACAGTGGTTCCCAATCCTGGCCCTGGAGTCTCCGCTGTGCTGCACATTTTAGTGTTTCCGCTGTTCCCGACATACCTGATCCAACTAATCAGCTCATTAGGAAGCCCTTCATGACCTGAAGTGGATGTGCTGGGAGCAGGAAAAACCCTGAAACGTGCAGGGCCGGAGGTTCTCCAGGACCAGGGCTGGGAACCTGTGCTCTAGCATGATAACCAATTAAGGATCAAACCACCCACATTCAACTATCCTGCAGTCCAGTTTGGGCCTTTCGTTGTAAGTGGGCACTTCTTCTAGTTTCCTGAGGACCTCTGTGCCTTCGACCACTTGCCTGAGAGAGAAAGAAAAATGCAGTACTGAGCAACTGAATGCTCTGTTTTTCATAAATATAGTTATGGAAACCTCTATTTATTTCATTATCAGTATTTTTGCAGCATAGGAATTACAGCAGAACACTATGATGGATAAAACATGGAGTAATTCTGTTCTGTAGCTTGTTGTTTTACAGAATTTCAGCATTTCAGCCATTATTTTTATTATTTTATTCTTTCATTTGATTCCAAACTGTCTAAACATTTTTTCAATACTATAAAATGATGTGGAGTCAAAATGTTGTCACTGAAAGTCATTTTTACTCAGAGTTTTTGGAAGCAGACCAGGGTAATGCTGCAATGTTAGCAAACAAAATGTTAATTTGGCTCACTTAATAATAATGTGTAACACATATAATACTTTACATTTTACATTATATACAGATGATTCTAATTGGTTCAAAGTCGGAGCTGAGAACACATTTCGGACTTTTAACTGATTTGGACTTTAGACTAAAATCTTCATTATGTTTATTTTATTAAAATAAATGATTGAACCGTTCATTTTGTCCCTGCCAAAACAATCATAACACTACCAAAACTTTAGCAAATGTTTTGATAGTGACTGTTTTGGTAGTGATAATTTAATAGCTAATTTTGAGCGTAACTCAAACTCTCTAGCCAGTACATGATGAGCAAACACAGCTTTGAACAGCTGTACACATAAAATCATAACATTTTTTCACTAAAACACAAAAAAGCCAACTTAATTTCAGAAAAGATGTGTTTCGGTAGTCACAATTCTTAATGTTCCACACTGATTTTCAGACTTTGGGACACATTTACTTCCAAACAATGGGATCTAACTTCTCATTATGTGGCAATGAGGGACAGGGGTGCAGCCTCACTTCCTGCTCTAAAATGTAGGGGTAGCTAAAATAAAGACTATAACTCTGTACGTTTTGGAAGGGGATGAAAATGTGGGACAGCATTTTTTGAATATATTTTTATTTTAAAATTAAATTTAATGATAAATCAAAATCTATAAAAAATAGGGGTTAGGATTTGGTCTCAACACTTAGCTGTTTTTCAATAGGTTTCTTCTTCCTGTGGGACCTGTTAATTTCTCAGTTTTCTGACAGTTGCGCATCTGTTGATGTGTAGAAAAACCTTTATACACTTAACCCTTGTACTGGATCTCCAGGTCTTGCTTGGAAAGCCGTTGCTCACTGCTGTTGATCCAATTTCAATTTGAGTGTTGTTATAAAGCCACAAATAGACCATTTCTACAATGCTCACCCAAATGCCACATAATTTCTGTCCATCCACAGGGCTGGCTGTAGAGTGATGTAGAACTGGGAACCGTTACTATGCCGACCTCGATTGGCCATTCCCAGGATACCTCGCTTGCTGTGAGACACAGCAAAACTCTCATCTGGGAATAAAAGCAGACAAAAAACAGGTGAAGGAAAAGATGAAAAGAAAAGAAAGAAGACACTGGTGCAAAATTAGAGGGAGACAAAAGTTATGAGTCTTAAAGCTACATGATGTAAGATGTGGGGATTTGGAGACCTCTCTGGTGGAAATGTGTAATTGCACGCAACGTGCGGAGGAACGGGGTTGTGCTTCGGACCCTTCCTCCAGCGGATGAACCTGATGATTGCAAGCACCTTGAAAAAGTATTCACTGCCCCACCAAATGACCTCCTCACAAAGGGCCTGGACCCCCATCCATAACTCTCTACTGACCCCCCTGCTTCAGAGTAATGTAGGAACAGCTCTGTTCTCTGCTCTGCAGTAGTTTCTTTCATTTCTATTTACTTATGCTGAAAATACCCATGTGGTTAACTGAGGTACAACTCCATTTCCAAAAAAGTTGGGATGCTGTGCAAAATGTAAATAAAAACAAAATGCAATGATGTGCAAATCATTTAAACCCTACATTTCATTGAAAATAGAACAAAGACATCATATCAAATGTTGAAACTGAGAAATGTTATTGTTTTTTAAAAATATATGCCCATTTAAAATTTGATGCCAACAACGCTTTCCAAAAAAGTTGGGACGGGGGCAATAAAAGGGTGGTAAAGTTGTGTAATGCTATAAAAACACCTGGTGGTTGATTGGCAACAGGTCAGTAACATGACTGGGTATACAGGAGCATCTTTCAGAAGTAAAGATGAGGAGGGGTTCACTACTCTGTGAAAGACTGCGCTGGCAAATAGTGCAGCAATTCGAAAATATGTTGTCTTTGTATTATTTTCAATTAAATATAGGGTTTAAATGATTTGCACATCATTACATTTTGTTCTTATTTACATTTTGCACAGCGTCCCAACTTTTTTGGAAATGGGGTTGTATGAATTTCAGACCTGCACCTTCAAATGTAGGACCATAAATGGATTCTCCACCATCGCCTTTCCCTGCTGGAGTAATATCTGTAATACAGAAGCAAAGAAATAAAATGTAGATGGTTGTGTTGATTAAATAGCATTTTCTGTGTGTGTTTGTGTGTGTTTGTGTGTGTGTGTGTGTGTTATAGTTCAGTACCTCCTCCCTGCACCCAGCCGTTAGGCACCACTCTGTGGAACAAGGAGCCCTTGTAACAAAGCGTGAGCTGGTTCTCAGACACACCTGCCTCTCCAGTGCAAAGAGCTTGAAAGTTTTTACACGTCTTGGGACACAGATCTGAAAAGAGCTAAAGATAAACAAACCATTTATTAACACACTTCTGACATCACTCTTTCACGAGGAGAACACACACATGTGAGAAAGACTGCTGAGATATAATCTAAAAACAAAATGAACTATGAACAGATAACAGATAACCCAGAATAGACGTCAGAGTGAGTAACATTACCTCAAACAGCAATCGGCCAGCTGCCTCCCCCCCGATCTCAATGTCCATATACACAAATACATGCTGTAGGGAGAGAAGTCAAGCATAAGGACTCGAATCTTTGATGTTCTGACTTTTTACAGCAGTGCATTGCAAAAAAATGATATCTTGGCAAGTAAAATTATCTTAAATCTAATCTAGATATCTAAAATTTGTCATTTTAAGACTGTTGTATACAGAGCCTTGTTGGCGAGATCCCATATAAAAATAATGAGTCGACTTAGTAAGGTGTGGGAATGAGATAATTAAGTCGTGGCCCAACTAAGTAAGGTGTGGGAACAAGATCATGCCTTACTAAGCCTTGGCCACGCATTATTTTTATTTATACGTGATGTCACCAGCGGGGCTCCTTAGTTGTGAGCTTACTATAAGATTATTTACCTTATAGATGTTTTACTTGTTTTGAGTGATTTTAGTAAGTCAGATTATCTCACTACTCATTCATTCATTCATTCAGCCGCTTATCCTCCTGGGGTGCTGAAGCCTATCCCAGTGCTCACTGGGCAGAACACAGGAAACACTCTGAGCAGGTTGCCAGTTCATCACAGGGCATTTGCCAGATAATTTTGCTCATTCCAAGCATATTTCTTACAACAAACAACCTTATCTGAGATAATCTGACTTACTAAAATCACTAAAGCAAGTACAATTTCCAAAAAAGTTGGGATGCTGTGCAAAATGTAAATAAAAACAAAATGCAATGATGTGCAAATCATTCATACCTAAATTTCATTGAAAATTGTACAAAGACAACAAATGTTGAAGCTGAGAAATTTTACTGTTTTTTGAAAAATATTTGCCCATTTTGAACTTGATGCCAATAACATGTTCCAAAAAAGTTTGGGATGGGAGCAACAAAAGGCTGGTAAAGTTGTGTAATGCTAAAAAAAACACCTGGTGGTTGACTGACAACAGGTGAGTCACATGATTGGGTATAAAAAAGCATCTCAGAGAGGCGGAGTCTTTCAGAAGTGAAGATGAGGAGGAGTTCACCACTCTGTGAAAGACTGTGTGGGTAAATAGTGCAACAATTCAAGAATAACGTTTCTCAACATAAAATAACAAAGAACTTCTGCTTTTCATCATCTACGGTACATAATATCATTAAAAGCTTCAGAGAATCTGGAGAAATCTCTGTATGCAAGGAACAAGGCTGAAAACCAGTACATGCTGGCCGTGATCTTTGGGCCCTCAGGCAGCACTGCATTAAAAACAGACATGATTCTGTAGTGGAAATCACTGCATGGGCTCAGAAACACTTCTGAAAAACACTGTCTGTGAAAACAGTTTGTCACTGCATCCACAAATGCTAATTAAAACTCTAAAAGGCAAAGAAGAAACCAAACATAAACAGGATCCAGAAATGCTGCCACCTTCTCTGGGCCTGAGCTCATTTAAAATGGACTGAGGCGAAGTGGAAAAGTGTCCTGTGGCCTGACGAATCAATATTTGAAATTCTTTTTGGAAATCATGGACACTGTGTCCTCCGGGCTAAAGACCACTCAGCTTGTTATCAGTGCACAGTTCAAAAGCCGGTATTCATGATGGTATAGGGGGGCGTTAGTGCACATGGCATGGGTGAAGTGCACATCTGAGAAGGCACCATTAACACTGAATGATAGATACATAATTTGGCAACATATGCTGCCATCTAGATGACGTCGTTTTCAGGGAAAGCCTTGATTATTTCAGCAAGACAATGTAAAACCACGTTCTGCATGTATTACAACAGCATTCCTCCATATTAAAAGAGTCTGGGCGCTAAACTGGCCTGCCTGCAGTCCAGACCTGTCACCAGTGATAACATTTGAAGAGTTATGAAATGAAAAATATGACAAAGGAGAACCTGAATGGTTGAGGAGCTGAAATCCTGTATCAAACAGGAATGGGAAAACATTTCACTTTCAAAACTACAGCAGTGTCTCCTCAGTTCTCAAACACTTACAGAGTGCTGTTAAAAGAAGAGGTGATGAAACACAGTGGTAAACAGGCCCCCGTCCCAACTTTTTTTGGAACGTGTTGTTGGCATCGAATTCAAAATGGGCATGTATTTTTCAAAAAACAATAAAATTTCTCAGTTTCAACATTTGATTTGTTGTCTTTGTGCTATTTTCCTTTAAAAATACATGATTTACATCATTTGCATATCACTGCATTCTATTTTCATTTACATTCTGGACAGTATCCCAACTTCTTTGGAAATGGGGTTGTAAATATGTCTAGAAATAAGCTTGCAACAAACTTAAAGTGAGAAATTTTAGATAAATAGACTAAATTTAAGATAACTTCACTTGCCAAGACACCAGTCTTGTGGCAACCAGTTCTAGTCCCAAGGCTTAACATTACACCACAATGTAAGTGTTTCACAACAAGCAAAAAGGGATGAGGGCAGCAGGTCACACTGCAAAACAACAGACTGTTGTATAAATATTATAATACTGTTTAACATATTTAAGTCATTTTATTTAGTGATGATATTCCAGTGGAAGATAATATTGCTTTTTTTAAGCATTATTTCTTGAAACAAGCAAAATTATCTATATTATTTGCTGAAATAAGCAAAATCATTTTCCAATTGAATGAGAGAACATTACTAACTTAAATTACTTGAAATGAGTAAAAAGGTCTACAAATCTCCAAGTTAAATAACATTACAGTTTTCTTCCAACAACCTTAAAATAAGAAGCATTAGATATTTTGACTATATTTAGGATTTCACTGCCAAAATTGATTATTTTTGCTGTGTATTTTTTTCCAACTGAACAATTTGTTCTGTACTTTTTTTTATTGTGATGTGCAACTTTTCACGTGTGAAAGGGTTCAGCCAATCAGAACCGAGCTAATTTACATAAAGACCCAGGGAAAACAGCTGTTTGATTATTAGATGAAGAGAGGCTGGAAAATGTGGAACATTATAAAAAAATGATTATGTAATTTTTTTAAATTAATTATTTGTGGTACATAAAGCTACACACGTTAGAATGAACAAATACAAGCACTTTAAGAGGTATGTACAGACCCCTGCTGGTGACATCCTGTATAAACAAAAATAATGCGTGGCCACGACTTACTAAGGTGTGGGAACAAGATCCTAATGAGTGGCCACAACTTAGTGAGGTGTGGGAATGAGCTAATTAAGCCTTGACCACAGCTTAATAAGGCATGATCTGATTCCCACGCCTTACTAAGTTGTGGCCGCGACTTATTTATCTTGTTCCCACGCCTTATTAAGTAATTATTTTTATTTATACAGGATGTCACCAGCAGAGCTCCGTAAGTGAGATAATGGTTTGAAAAAACATGACAAATTAATCGTTTAGATGCAAAATCATGCTGCATTTTTCATGAAGTTCCTTAAACCTCTGATGATTCGTTTCTGGTGTATTGAATTAAACATATAAAACATTCACAAAGAAAATAAATATAATTAAAAATTACTTTCCCAAACTGCCTTTTCAACTCCTTGAGACCACCGGTGGTTCCAAAACGTCGTCATATTCTTCATAACTTTCATATTTCATAAGCTACATTCAGAAGGTGGGGGTCGTATGAGAGCTGTAACTGTCTTCTTTCCAGTCAAATAGATGGGTGATGTAATTTTAAACCCTTATAATAAAAGAAGCTGAACTCACAATTTTTTTTATCTACTGAAAGTCGACCCATTTTTCCACAAATCTGGGCTATAAACTATAAACAGATGGCGTCTCTTCAGTGATCTGCTCTGTAAAAATTATTTTTATAAAAAAAAAGAGCGTCTAAGATTTTTGGCTTTCAGCAGTAAATTGTAAGCATATAGCAATATGTGTGATCATAAAACATATGTTTTGTTAATCTGAGGGGAGCTTTTACAAAATAAATAAATAAATAAAATAAAAAATTACATTTATTTCATGCAGTTACTGAATAATTTGCTGTATGATTTGGTCATGTAAATTCAGATGGACAAACCAAAATATACCCTGGAGAATAAGAGGTTAATTCTTGATTGATGAGGTTTGGGTTATACCTGAAGTAGGTATAAAGTGAAAAACACAAACTGTGCAGGTCAGGTCAGGTCAGGTCAGGGGTCAGTGTACTTGCCCCGGTGCTGCGCAGGTGCTGCCGGTAGCATTCGTCAGTGATGGCGGCGTAAAGCGCGTGCGGGCGGTAGAAAGTGAACCCCCACTGCTTCTCTGCCCACCTGGACAGCTCCTTCTCATCCCCGAGCAACTGACCATTCACAAAACACATAAGGCTCCCGCTGTATTGCCACACCTCCCCCTTGAGCTCCTGCACAGCAGAGGTTCAGACAGGTCACCAAAGAGCCGCGTCATTATCGATCATGGCATTTGTGCACTATTGACTCTGATCAGGGAATGTTACCGTCTGTTTATTGGTCAGATAAACATGCCAGTCGAACTCGAGCAGCGGCCGAACTGTGGGCTCCACAAACGAGGTCGGGAATTTATGTCTGAGCCCCTGCAAAAAAGACACAAGGGTTGAAATCGATTAACCACGTCTAGTAGTTTTCTTTGTGTAATAAAAATATGAACAAGATTGGCCAGTAACTGAGTCTGTTAATCAACACCAGAAATATCAATATATTTATTTTACAGTGGCTGACTTAAATTTTTCTCAGCTGAAAAATGTGAATAAATGTCAATAGTAGGAGACATGGCCTTAACCTTATTCAGATATCTAATTTATACTCTAAAACTACACTGATATACAGTGGTGGACAGAAACTAAGTAAATGTAATTTGTTACTGTACTTAAGTAGTTTTTCGTGTATCTGTACTTTACTGAAGTTTTTCCATTTTGGGCGACTTTTTACTTTCACTCCACTACATTTCAAAGTCAGATATCTCACTTTTTACTCCACTACATTATGAGAAATAAAAACGTAACATGTCAAAATGAAAGAAGCGTGAAGTACGAACACCAATCAGGGCACAGCGCGCACTTTGTTTTGTTTTGGGCTTGTTTTGACCTGTTGGTCATACCGACCCAGTGCAGCACACGGTTCAACATCAGTGCAGTAGTGTAAAATTTTGGGAGAGTCTATTCAACATAAATGATGAACTAACCTAGCTTTGTGTAAACAGACCACAATATAGAAATATGTACACATATGCAGTTGTGACTGACGTGTCTTTTTTCTGAATTTATACAAACACTTTCATTTTATAGTAAATTTGTTTCGGCTAGTTTATGTTTATGAACAGAGACCTACAGATGCAGTTTAGTAAAGGAAACTCATTTGTGAATCTGAGTTTAAAGTTTTTATTAAACTTAAACTTGTAATTAAGCTGCAAATAAATCTTAAACTGAAACTTTGCTTGTTTGTAAAAAGTGATTTCAGAGCCACTCAGTTCTACCTGATGAAAACTGTTCGCCTTCAGTGTTTTGTGCTTATGATCATTTTAATAGACATCAGCGTCACTAATTAATGACATTCTATTAAAAGACTGGTTTACCAAGAGAGGCACTGGAGTATTTTCACCTAAAATGAGTTAATGAAGCAGAGTCTTGTTATAAAAATGATAATAGGACATTAAAGTCATAATTAATCTTTTAATAGTACTTTTACTTTTGATACTTAAGTACATTTGAAGGCAAATACTTTTGTACTTTTACTCAAGTGGAGGTCTAAAGGGAGGAACTTCTACTTCTACTGGAGTGATATTTTACCTCTCTACTTTAACTCAGCTACATGGTTTGTGTACTTCGCCCACCGCTGTTTATATACCAAGTTAGCTGATGTAGCTAAAGCTAAAGCGCTATTTGTTGTCAGGCTGCACTTCTTCCACAGCTCTCTGGACTCCAAACCAGCCCCAGACTCCTAACGTCAACAGGTGGTCGTCGCGGGTCTTTCTTTACCTCTGCGATGCTTTTAGCGACGTGAAAATGATGCTTTTTCATCAAACCAACAATTTCCAAACGTACTTCAGGCTCCATTTCTCGGTTCACCGCTGCTGAGATCCACTGGCTAAGCGTGTGGTTGCTATGGTATCCATAGATATACATACCTAGATGCCGCGTTGGGTCCAGCCAGGCACGTCAACGGCGCCGCCATTTTAGGGCGGTCAACATCGCTGCTGGACTGCTTTCAGTACCATTACAGAGCGGCAGTTTAAGAAAGATACTGTCCAAAATTACACTATTTCAAGAATATTGACTCAGAAAGTGGGATAGGATTATATAACGGAGGGAACGCAGTGATCCACACTCATGTTTGTGTGATGTTTATGTGTAGATATGGCCGTGTGCTTGGTGAAGCACAGAGAACCTGCTGATGTGATTGTTTTTCCTCTGGTTTTATATGAAGCTTATTTCATTTAATAGTCTATTCAGGGGATCTTAACTTTATGTAGGTGGTATTTATTTACAATGATGGTTAAAGCTTTGTAGCTCGGTAGGTTAAGTTATAGCATTCCTTAATCCATGTAGATATTCATAATAGATTAACAGCAGCACCTTACATGAAGCTGAAATTAGCTTCTCATTTGACAGCTTCTTGTTCGAATTTCCACCTTAAATGATGCATCACCAGCATCTTGTACGAATTTTCCCGTTCCACCTTAAATTCAGGCACCAGAAAGTGACTGCTGCACCATTTAAGGTGGAACGGGAAAGCTCGAATAAGAAGCTGGCGAATAGGAAGCCAACATCAGCTTCGTCCTTCTTACTGTGTTTTGGGGGTTTATTTTATTTTTATGTGTATTAAGATTAGAAGTGATTCACACATTGATGGATTTGCTGATGTGTGTTTGATTGTGGTTAAGCGTGGCGTTGCTATGGTAACAGTCGGCGCATGAGCATGACGTGCAGGCTGCTTCGGCGCATAAATATTGTACATAGCGTCTTAACATTTAAAATATCTTCAATTTAAATAACAGTGCATAGCAAATGATTAAATCTGATGCATACAATCACATTCAAAACACTGGCAGCAAGTTTGCAATATGCATTTATTATGTTTATTCAGAAAATAAAATAAACCCCAGAATGTAATTTTCTGCGCTCCAATGAATTAAGATTTTATTCATGTTTTAAGGTGAATCATTACTGCACTGAATACTGGAATCTTATGCCTCCCATTTATCAAGTGCAGATCACTTTAACTGCCTCCAAGCTGTATCAACCCTGAAGCGGTTTTGGTGGATTCCTCCAGGGCCAGAAACCTGTGGAGCTTATGTTCAAAGTCTATGGGCTGGTCATGAGGGGGTCGATACTTGTTGGTCATAGCAGAACCCAGATAGCAAATGAGGTCGCAGGCCTCCTCGAACTGAGCCAGTTTCTTCTTGTACTTCTGCCGAATGTAGTCCGAGCTCTTAGGGTTGTACGCTGTGTGGAAGATGGGAAGAATGTAATTTTTAAATTTAGTCTTTAAGTGCACTTAAATAGAACAAAACAATGATCTCAGATTTGGCAAAGTAAGAGTCTCTGCCTCACATCTGAAGCTGGAGGGTTACGTACCTTTCAGATGAAAGGCCAAGTAGAGCATAGCAGATCTCTTCATGCTTAGGTAAGGGAACTTTGGCTTAAGGTTGCCCACTTCTGTCATGCCTTTGATGATGGCTTTTGCCACACCCTTGGAGGGAGAATGCACATAAATAAGAGATGAAGCAGATCATAACTGGTCATAATAGAGTCGAATCAAAGCAGACAGCCAGAAAACCACAAAGCCCAGACCTTCCTCGTTCATTCTTTGTTCATGACAACTTACTCTTAAAATAAACACGGTCATACAGCAGAATGCACAATACAAACTCTAGTAAAAGTCAGTGTCTCTGTCATTTCCCATGTACCTGTTCCAAGTAGCCAAGCATCGGTAAAGAAGTCAGATGTACTGGGTCTCCCATTGGTGGAAGTTTATGAGGGAGTTTCTGGTCCCAGTAGGTGTCAGGCGACCTGTGAACAGTTTATGATTACTATTATGATTGATCAATAACCAAACAGTATAGCGATTACAGTAATGAACAGATGCTGGGGTGTTTCTATTTGCTGTCACTGCTGACCGCAGAAACTTGTTTTGTTTCTCCTCTGTCTCAAAGATGTAGATCTTCTCCCGATATTCCACAGCAAAGTCCAGGTTGCCACGTACCAGAGACTCATACCTTCAGATAAAGAAGCAAAATTGTAAACAATGAATCAGGATTACGGTACCGCTCAAAAGTTCACTGTTTAAAGGTTGGAAATTAGTGTTTTTTAAAGTATTTAAACCAATTTGACTGCAGACGAGTGTATATAAAATGATTCTTATAATGTGTGTCCTGCGCAACTTAAGAGCTTTCAGATAATTAAAAGGACAATAAGGAAACTAAAGGAATTTTAGACGTGCCTGTAATTCTTTCGCAGAGGCAATATCGTGGCCCTTGAGGTAAACTTTACCCAATACCCTGCTGGGGCAGTCATGGGCTGGAGGTAAGCAAACCAGCCTTGTGACCAGAAGGTCGCAAGTTCAATCCCCTGAGCCGACAGTATGTGGCTGAAGTGCCCTTGAGCAAGGCACCTGACCCCCTACTGCTCCCTGGGCACCGTGGATAGGGCTGCCCACCGCCCTGGGCAAGTGTGCTCACTGCCCCCTAGTGTGTGTGTTCACTAGTGTGTATGTGTTGTTTCACTGCACGGACGGGTTAAATGCAGAGGTGAAATTTCCCTGGGACTAATAAGGGTCACCTTATCTTAAAGATTTTAAAATGGCTGAGAAAGCTGTATAAAATTGAGAGTTAAGTTATAATAAAATGAATATACAGAATTCTTCATATTTAAAAATGGAAATCAAATCTCAAAAATAATATAAAAAGCTAATTAATCATTTATTCACTTCTTGTTCACAGAAATCTTAAAGTTCTGGATAGTGTGCAACATTTAAATCCACATTGTAGAAGATATTGTCTACAAAATAACTGAAATTTTATGGTGACATAAACAAATTCATCATTTAACATACACATCTATAAAGAGTCTGCGTACACAGTAACTAAAAAGAAAAGGCAAAACGTAATAGATGTTCAAATGGATATAACAGGTGAGACTTTTGTATGATACTACAAAGTAAAACACCTCCAACATTCTAGCTTATTATATTGTACCTCTGCTGCCCATCTAGGTAGGTCACTGGGCAAAAGCCTTTCATTTCCACTTGCTGAGGGAAGCGACTTTTCACCTGGACTGCATTCAGTCTGCAGGGCAGAAGCTGAGGAGGGGGCAGTGGATGAGGGCACCCTGGAACCACAAACTGCTCCGGAGCCTCAAGGAACCTCTTTTATAACGAAGAACAGGACATAAACGTGGTAGTGTGCTACAGAGTGCTACTCCATACATTTATTTTATGCAGTATCATGTGGTTATATCCCCCCCTCCCCACCTCGAGATACTCCCTAGAGGCCATTTTGTAGTAGCGGCCCCTGAACTCCGCAGCAAACTCCAGGGAGGTGTTAAGGGAACAGTCCACTAGGTGCCGATGGAGAGCCAGGCTGACCGGACAATAGTGGCCAAACTCGCCCAGCCGAGACTGAAGCTCATGTGGAGTAATACACAGGCGGTCTATACTGGCAGCTTGACCTGAGGAAAAGCAGATTTATTCATAAGAGGAATTAAAATAGGTTGATTTGAATTCATAAGTAAATGGGGGGGGTAAATACACAAAATTCTGGTAAATACACAAAGCCAATTCCAAATAAGTTGGGCCAGGTAAAATGCAAATAAAAAAACAGAAAGAAGTGATTTGGAAACTGTCTTTTACAGGTATTTAACTGAAAGCAGCAGAAAGGACAGGTGTGTAATATTTTACTTTATCGACTATAATATTTTTTGTAGATATATGCTAATTCCAAATTTGATGCCTGCAACACAGTTGGGACAGGGACAATGTAAGATTGTAAAGTTTGTGGAATATGGTGTGGAAAAACTTGTTTTGGAACTTTCTACAGGTAAACAGGTGAACAGGTAACAGGTGATGCTATTATGATTTGGTATAAAAGGAGGATTCATGAAAGGCTCAGTTACTACTTTTAGAAAAACTGCTTATGTGAATAGTGCAACAGTTTAAGAACAGCGTTTCTCAACACGTGACTGCAAGGAATTTAGGAATTTCACCATCTACAGTCCATAATTAAAAGATTCAGAGAACACAGAGAAATCTCTGTGCGTAAAGGTCAAGGCCGAAAACCAATGTTAAATGCCCATGACATTCGATCCTTCAGATGGCGCTGCGTTAAAAACCAGCATGCTTCTGTAATGAATATAACCACATGGGCTTGGGAAAACTTCAGAGAACCCTTGTCAGTAATGCAAAGTGGAGGCCATATAACAATCTGTGAAGGCAACGTTAATGCTGAGAGGTACAGACGCACTTTGGAGCAACATATGCTGCCATCTAGACAACGTCTTTTTCAGGGACGTCCCTGCTTGTTTCAGCAAGACAATGCCAAGCCACATTCTGCATCTGTTACAACAGTGTGGCTTTATGGTAAAACAGTGCAGGTGCTAGATTGGCCTGCCCACAGTCCAGACCTGTCCCCCACTGAAAACGTGGCACATTATGAAGCACACTGTATGACATTGGAGACCATGGGCTGTTAAGCAGCTGAAGTGTTACATCAAGCAAGAATGGAGAAAAAAATCCTCATTTTCTAAGCGATTATATCAGGGGTGTCAAACTCAACCACTACAAGGGCCGTATTAAAAAATCTCAACAAATCAGGCCAGAGAATGCATATGTTTGTATTTCAGTTTTTTTGCTATAACCTGAACTGGCCATTGTTCATTCAAAATACACCAAAACATCAACAGCAAAATATAGGCACTTGCAGTAAACCATGAAATTTTACATGAATACTTAAAATACTCAAAAACACACTTTACATTGCAGCACATGCTGGGGATTATAGTGCTGCGCATTGTGTGTGTAATATTAATAATTAATAGGCTAATGTTGATAAAATACTTTCGTGTGACATTGGATTGGGCCTTGTGTTTGACACATAGGGACTACATTGTCAAAAGGAAAGGTCATGTAACACAGTGGTAAACATGCCCCTCGTGCAAGCAGATAGATCAGTCTGTGAATGAGTAGTTATGATGTGATCTTAGGGTTCTTACCTTTGCGAATCCTCTCCAAGTAGTTGTGGATGTGTCTCATGCTTATCCGGGTTTCATCTAGAACCCGATTCCATACCCACCACTTGCTTTTGTGCCCGTTAACGGGAACCCAGTTGTGATACTGCTGCCGGAAGTGCTGCCGAAGCGCCTCCACCTCCCGCTTAAAGCAGGAATTCCGGATGTTCAGGATCTGGGGACTGTCATGCATTGGATATGGCCTGCTAAACAGAAGAGGATGAGGGCTTTGCTATGCTTACAAGCTTTGTCATCACTGTAAGAAGAGGTGTGATAAGATAGGAATTATGAGTGTAATGAGTTGAACCTGTTGGGTTTCATTTTGTCTCCCAGGCCTCTCTTCAGCACCTCCACTGTGTCCAACTGCAGCTCGATCACTCGAACAGGAATGATGCTATGAGCCTCCATCAGATCAGCCTGCCGCTTAGTCATAGGAAAACCATCCAACACGTACCTGGAGAAAAAGTCAAATAATACACAAAACACACTTAATATGGACAAAGCTTTTAAATTACAGGAATGGCTTGGTGAGAAATCAACTATTGTCAACAATTTTCTACTTACCCCAGATGTAATTGATCAGCTGAGACATGTTTAGTGTTCAGATTTTGTTTAGTTTTGCACTGGAGAAAAGAGGCTAAGTTTCCTACCAAACACTAAATAGTCACCCAAATCGTTTTTCTGTAAATGCGTCCCTGAAACTCCTCTAAACCCATTCAAACCACATCCAGCTTATGTATTAAGGTTGCGCAGACCTGTGGATGTGGTTTAGGACACCTGTCTAAAATGGCTGTGTTTAGGCTAAACAGTGAAGTTTTGTTAATTTTTATAGTTCACAGTAAGTCATAATGTTTATAACTGGAAAGCATTAAGTCCCAAAAGAAAACAACTACTTTTTTTTTGCTTAAAATACCATTTTTTGGGAAATTTTCAGCACAGTTACGTTTGGTGCCAACCCCTGCAATACATGATGCTTATCAGTAAACGTAATCAGTAAACATAAAAGATAAACAGATTAGGCTAATATAAGCTTGTTTTATACCAGAAATCTGGCAGAATGGTGGTAGATTAAGTGGAGTGTCAGGGGGAGCGTGTTTTGTTTCTAGAGGCAAGGAGCAAAAAACTGATGAAGCTGCCTTTGTGCACCCTTTTTGTAGGACTTTACCATTTAAAAAATTAATATTTCTTTTTTATTTTATTTATTTTTTCACTGATATTTAAGACAAAGTGTCAGCAAATGCCCACTGTGGACAACTAGCCCCTCCCAGGCCCACTTGTTGTCCGTGGCCCACTGGTTGAGAAACCCTGTCCTCAACCACATCAACAAGTCTGCATGACCTTAATGAAGACCTGGGTAGGGTTTGATCAGTTTTAGAGACGTTTTATGGATGTATTTACAAAAAACGATTTAGTAACTGTTGACATCTAGTGTTTGTTAACACTGTTAGCCTCGTCTCTCCAGTGGAAAAAAAACTAGAAGAAGCAAAATTTAGACATCAAACATGTCTCAACTGGTTGACAGGGTGAGTGAAAAATTGTGTAAATCTGAATTAGATTGTTTGCCATACTATTCCTTTAAAATAAGATGATCAATTTGACAAAAGGTTTGTCATGGTTTTTAAATTTTGAGTAGAAACTGTTGTTTACAATGCATGTAAAGATATTCATGTTTTCTAAGATTTATTAATAGGTTTTAATAGACACAATGCACCAGCAAAACACACTAATGCCAAATTAAAAAGAACTACTAAATAAATATATGGCATAATGGCCATTTAAATGACATTTAATCATCTCATTGGGCCTCATTCACCAATATCTTCCTAAATTTTCTCTTAAATTTCTTCTTGAGAAAAGTCCAAAGAAAAAGTTTACGCCAGATTCATGACGTGTCCTTAACCGAAACTGCAGAACTGTTGGCACCTTTGTGTTCTTGAGTGTGTGCAGATTCTGTTCTTACCTAAGAACAAATCCCACAAAAAACATTGGTGAATGTCAGAATCTTCATGAAAACTGCTTAAGTGGGCTTTAAGACTAAATTTCTTCCTAAGAACGGTTGGTGAATGAGGCCCATTGATCTTTAATTTGACAGTCTTGTTTTTTTGTTTACAAGTTAATACAACATATAACCAAATCTACTTGACATCTCACTTCTCCAGTATAAAAACCTATTGTTAAATGGTATGCAGTTTGAAATGGTTTATTACCCCCGTGTGCTGCAGACCAAGCTCATGAGGACCACCTCCAGGCACTGAATGGCCAGTTCGTCGGGCACAGTCAGACCCTGGTGCAGGTGCTTCAGCATCTGGGTGGCCAGCTCCGTACTGCTCTGGGTATTGAGCACCATACGCATCACCTCACCGATAGAGAGGCGAGCCAGACTGTACTCACGGGCAAACATGCGGGCGACTACCTCCGCACACCACATATGCACAGAGACAGGAAAAGCAGCTTTTATTTGCTTTGTGCTGCACCCACACTTTCAATGCCTGACAGTTTTGTACAAAATATTACAGATGTCCATGCCTAGTTTTAAGCCTTGACTTCAGTTGGGCACTGACCTGTGGTTTTTCCAGATTTGGGTGGACCAATAATTGCGAGTTTGATGGGCAGGGAGGGGTTGGGCTTGGGCTGCCGGAGGTATTTGATGGGGTTCAGCATGAAAGTGTTGCGTGTCTCTTTGGAGGAAAAGAAGTAAATGAAGTTGTGGAAGATGACGGGGAAGCTGGCATTGAGAGGACCCTGCACATGCTGCATCAGATCTCCCTCTGAATGCTATACAACATCAAAACGCAAAAAAAAGGAGAGTTATTAATAAAGGTACACACTCCTACACTGATACAATGCAGAAGGCATACACAGAAAATAATAAGTTTATAAAAGTATGTATTCTCATGTAAAACATCAGGATAATGCTTGCTGTGTTCATGATGATACAGGCTTGCAGACTTCAGACAATACTTTAAGGTTTGTTTAGGTAATGAATGAGGAGGACTATGTACCAATTCATAAATAATTTGATATTTTAGATACAGAGTTGTTGGGTATTAAAAATTGTATTCAAAATTGAAAGTGGTCATTAATTACTGTCATGTCTTGGCAAGTAATGACACACATCATTACAGAAACATGTATCTGGGCAGTAATTTTGTGAAATGCATATTTGTCATTCATCACACTATTTGCAATAATCAGCATACGTCATTATAATTTTTTTAACTGGCCAAATCAGTCATGTTTTAATTGGATTGGATGTCTGTATGGGTTGCCTGTGGAGTCAAGTACCTGGACAAGAGGGTACATTACAGCCTAAACAGATGTCTTACAACTCATAATTGGCAGTACATGCTAAGATGCTGTATTAGGTGGCTTGATGTCAATCCTTGAATATTCAAAAGTAGGTTTAAAAGTTAGATGAAATGTACAGATGATTGAGTATATCGTCACTAACCCGGACAGGGTCCCAGCATCCAAAAGCACTGTAGAACTTGTAAGAGGAGTGTAAGAGTTTTCGGGCAACACCATAGTTGATGGGACGACATTGCTGAAACAGAGCTTCCCTATTCTCCACCAAAGGATGGACTTTCTGCAGTATCTGGTAGCGCACAATGTGAGGCTTACGGCCCGCGCTGACTGTCAGACGAGGGATCTGGAGTTCAGCAAGAAGTTCCTGGAAGACAGAAATGTGTTTAGAATGGTTTTGTCAGCTAATTTGAAGCTTGTTGTTATAATTTAACATGTAAGGTATAACTGGTCAAGACTATTAAACACACTATATAGCCAAGTGACCATCACACATATATGAGCTTGTTGTACATTCCATTCCCAAACCACAGGCATTAACATGGAGTTTGCGTGGTCTACCACTTCGTGGCTCCTTCTATTCCACAATAATGTCACTTACAGTTGACCGGCACAGATCTAGCACTGACTTGTGGCAAAGGTAGCATGCTATGACAGATTTATAACAATTTTACTTCCAGTGTTTGCTTGATTTTATACACCGGTTAGCAATGGGTGTGGCTGAAACACCTGAATTCAGTAATTAGGAGGGGTGTCCTCATACTTTTGGCCATATAATGCGTTTTCTATGGCTCTCAGAACTGAAATTCTGTTTATTTATCTGCACAGTGAACTGCAAATTTGGAAAAGAAATACACTGTGCAGTGAACTATACTATAAAGCCCTAACACACTGAATGCAACTCATTACGGGCTTGATGCCTATTGAATTAATTGATATGTAAACGCATCACAGTTGGACTGAAAACAGCTGTCTGGACTATTCATGATGACAGTCTTGGCTCAACTTTTCCTCTCTCCAAAATTCTTACCATCATCTTAGTGATGTTGTTTTCATCTGTGTCGAACCTCTCACCGATCTCCGTCTCTAAACGCTCCTCTGCATTAGCCTCAGACTCCTCTTCCTCCACATCCTCTTCTTCCTCATGCGGAAACTCCATCAGCAGCATGGCCTCCAGCTCTTGCTCCCAATCCTGCAGCTCTTCTTCCCCCTCCTCAACCTCCTCTTCATTCTCCTCTATTTCCTAAGGGATAAAAAGGGCATCAAGGTCACACTGAAGCTCTGTTATAGTGTGCTCCTATGCTAGCAGTGAGAGCATTTCTTACTTTGATAGTTTTAGGTGTGAACTCAGCCATCAGTTCAGCTCTTCTTTGCGCGATGGCTTCATCCTGTGGACAGATGTCGACTCATACTTACTAAAAAACAGACACTCAGAGAAGGGGAGAGTGAGGACAGGGCTTAAAATTGCTAATGAGAGGGGAGTGTGTAGCCAGGTAATAACCAGATGGAGCAGAAGTGCTCTTTAATGTTGTATATTTGGCAGTTTGAAAGAATGTACTGACTACTTTTACAAGCTTCATAGCAAAAGATGTGTTCACCCTTACAGTTATTATTCTTGAGTGGACTATTACATCAAAAATGATAAAGTAGAGATGTAAACAACAGGGCTGCATAAATTGTTTGTAAATCAGTATTGAATCACTGGCCTCAGCAATGGTAATGCATACAGCCACAATATGCAAATGAGCTAAAAGTTTTTTTAAACCATGTGCCAAGCGCCTAATGCCAAAGCAAGTCGCAAGAGCTCAGACGGCATTCTCACACCACCTCTCATGGCTCTCCTGGAGTTCAGGGAGTTCATGTCGCCTCTTGTGGTTCTTGTCAGTGCTTGGGCACCATTCCCACGCCACCTCTCTTTGGTTCTCGTTGGCACTCAGTGCTCAAGCACCGTCCTCACGCCACTTTCCATGGCTCTTACTGGCACTTGAGGCTCAGACACCATTCTCTAGCTGCTCCCTGAAGCCCTATTTGGTGCTTGGTGCTCAGGCACTATCCTCACATTGCTTCCCGCAGCTCTCGCTGGTGCTCAGACTCAGGTACTGTCCTTACATCACTTACCGCTGCTCTCATCAGGCATCATCCTCAGGGTGCTTTATTGGCATCCGGTATTTAGGTAGCATTCTCGTGCTGCTTCCCGTGGCTCATGTTAAATCAAATCAAATCAAATTTATTTGTATAGCGCTTTTTACAACTGATGTTGTCACAAAGCAGCTTCACAGAAATCCGTTTAGAACAAAGTTTCAACATGAAATGTAAATCCTCCAGGTGAGCAAGCCAGGGGCGACAGTGGCAAGGAAAAACTCCCTCAGTTGAGGAAGAAACCTTGGGAGGAACCAAGGCTCACATGGGGGGACCCATCCTCCTCTGGTCAAACTACGTACAAAATTATTATTCTACTAATATTAATAGTAATAGTAGTAATAGTTAGGAGACTTCAGTGTAGAGTGGGCAGCCAGTCCAAGGCAGGTGGCGGTGACTGGGTTGTGGGTAACTGGTCTGAAGCGGGTAGCCGGAGAGCTCTACAAACAATCATCCAGCAGTGTCCGGCCGGACAGGTGAGCAGTCGTTTTCTCGGAAGAAAGGTAGGGAAATGGAGTTAGTTTATTTCTGTATGGGTGTATGTATAGTAGTATGTAAAACATTTCCAGAGTGTGGCTAACGACTCCGGCAGATCTGACTATAACAGCTTAACTAAAAGGAGAGAACCAAAAGGGCACACAGACACGGGAGCACCCTGAAACAATCTGGCATTCCTCCGCTCCACCGTCCACAAACCTGAGTGATCGCGTGTGAGCGGCGGGACGACAGCACCAGCGTCTCAGTTTACTATAATTCCCTGCGTCCATGGACCCCTGGATCTGCTGCCTTTATCCAAGGGGAAACATTAGCTACCAAAAGCTAAACTAAACAAATGAGTTTTCAGCCTAGATTTGAATATTGCGACTGAGTCTGAGTCCCGAACATTTTCTGGAAGATCATTCCAGAGTTTGGGGGCTTTATAAGAAAAGGCTCTTCCCCCAGATGAAACCTTCTGAATTCTGGGAACTATTAAAAAGCCAGCACTCTGTGATCTGAGTAATCGTGGTGGCTCGTAAAGGGAAATAAGGTCTTGCAGGTACTCAGGAGCGAGCCCATGTAGGGCTTTATACGTCAATAAAAGAATTTTGTAATCAATACGGAATTTAACAGGCAGCCAATGGAGTGATGATAGAACTGGACTGATATGATCAAATTTTCTAGTTTTAGTGAGAACCCTGGCTGCAGCATTTTGAACTAGTTGAAGTTTACTTAAATTCCTGCTGGTGCATCCTGTTAGTGCTTAGGACTCGGGCACAATCCTCATGCTGCTTCCTGTGGCACTCGTTGGTGCTCGGACTCAGGCACCATCCTCACACTACTTCCCACTGCTGTTGTCGGATGCTCAGGCACCTTCCTCATGCTGCTTCCCACAGCTCTCATTGGTGCTCGGACTCAGGAACCGTCCTCACGTCACTTCCCACTGCTGTTGTTGGACGCTCAGGCTCTATCCTCAGGCTGCTTCTCAAAGCTTTCATTGGCATTTGGTGCTCAGGCAACATTCTCGTGCCACTTCCCGTGGCTCTTGTTGGCCTTCAGGGCTTGGGCACAATCCTCACGATGCGTCCTGCGGCTCTCGTTGGTGCACGGACTCAGGCACCATCTATGCATCACTTCCCGCTACTCTTGTTGGAAGCTCAGGCACCATCCTCGCACCATCCTTAAGCCACTTCCTCTTTCCCTCGTTAGCGCTTGGGGTTCAGGCACCATCTTCATTCCACTTCCCACAGCTCTCGTTGGAGCTCAGGACTCAGGCACCACTGTTATGTTGCGTCCCACGGCTCTCACTGGGCCTCAGACTCAGGCTTTGTCCTCATATTGCTTTCCACGGCTCTCATCAGTGCTTGGACACTGTTCTCATACCACTTCCAGCGGATCTCGTTGGTACTTGGTGCCTGGGCACCGTCCTCAAGCTGCTTCCCGTGGCTCTCAGCACATGAGTGTGTCTCTGGCGCCTGGCACAAACCAATTTTACCACGCGCTCACCTATTTGCTTCTGATTCTATAATGAATTCTATAAAGACTGAGCAGAAAGAGCACCTAGATTACCCCTCCTCACCCTTATTTTGCTGCGTAGCTCTTTGAGCAGCTGTTTCTGCTCTTTCTTTCTGTCACGTCTCTCCCTCCAGCGGGCGAGTCGTGGGGGGAGCAGGCGCTTCACCACTTCCGTCACCTCTAGCGTCATGTCCACCACAGCATCAGGGTATAAGTGATGCTCTCCTAGAAAGGACACCTCCTCTGGATTCTGAGGAAAGCCCTCCAGAATAAACCCAGTGGATCTGAGCACAAGAAAGAAGAAAGAGGAAGAAAGAGAAAATGAAGATTTGCACGCACTTCGGACATATGCTTTTGTAAACGGTGTGTAATGGTGTGTGCGCAACCCTTTACTTGTATGGCTCTTGATTCCACAGCTGTGGCAGAACCATCTCCATGATCTCTTGTGGCAGCGGCTCTCCATCCGACAGATATGACTTTATGGCTTCTTCTTCATCTGTCAGTACTGGATTCGCCTACACACCAACACAAAAACTGGTATTAGTGGGGAAATTGGCAAACAGCTCTGTGTGATGAGTGTTATTAGTAAGGCTATTCTTTTGGCTGACCCCATCTTCTGGTTCAGTAGGGAGTTCTGTGGAGCTGGCCTGTGCTTGTTGCTGCAGCAGAGCCTGCAGCTCCTCAGGTGGCTCTTCAGGGGGTTCCACTTCATCGGAGTATGGCACACGGCTTTGAGTCTTTGCTAATATCAGCTCCTGGAGCCGCTCCCTGAACTGGATATGGAAAATACCCAGCTGCTGAGCTAGCCAGCGGCCATGAGTGGTCTTTCCCGAGCCCCGTACTCCCAACTGGAAGATGCGCAGGGCAGGAGGCTAGGGAGTCGAAAAACAAAGTAAAGTGTGTGAATAAATACATTTTCATTATAAAACACATTTAATACACAAATAACTGACTGAAGTTCTATATGTCCAAAAGAATCCAGATGCTCAGGTTAGATAGGAAGGTAGTAGGGCGTTCAGAGAGTACAAAACCAGCATAATGATGACCAGCACAATAAAAATACCATTCATAACATGATAATGAACAAAGAAGCATATAACATGAAAATATGAATAATTCATAATTTTATCAAAAGCAGTTCATTCAAAAGTTTAACTGCTGCAGTCAAAATACCTCCTTAGTCATTTGGTTGAACAATTTGGTAAAAACAATTATTTATTCAATAAAAAAGCCAAAAGAATGGTACATTCTGGAGCAGTTACAAATGAGCCTAAGGTCACCTTAAGGTAAAGTTCCCCAGCACTGTGAAGCCGTGCAACTGTGTTTTCTGAATTCAGTGATGGAGCATCACTGAATGCCTTTGGGATAGGTGGAGTGGAGTTTGTGAGCCACAACTAATCACCCAATATCAGTACCTGATCTCACTAGTGCTCTTCTAGCTGAATGCAATCAAACCCTGCAGCAATTTTTCAAAATCTAGTGTAAACCCTTCCCAGAAGAGTAGAGAAAGCTACTGTAGCAAAGAGGGGCAAACTCCCTATTAATACTCCTAATTTCAGAAGAAATATTGAGAAGGTGTACAAACTTTTGATTTAAAATAACGTTATCTCATTGGTCCCATGACCACCCTATGTACATGTCTAACGCATTTCAAAATACAGTAACACTTTACTGTAGGGTACTGTTTAAAAGCCTACATGACGCCTACATAATCTTGTCATGACGACTGACATAACACTACATAAATGTTTAAAACAGTTTATTCCAATAAGCAAAATGTCATTAAGGCTACGTTAGCTAACTGATCAACACTGGCAAATGTCACGTTTATAGCGTATGATGTCTATTGGAATAAGCATTCATAAACATTTATGTGGGGGAATGTCAGTTGTCATAACAAGGTTATGTAGGTGTCATGTAGCCTTATGAACAGTACCCTGCAGTAAAGTGTTACCCGAAATACTAATGTAAAGTAGTTTTGACTTCAGTATTCTACAGCCATGCTGCACATAGGGGTGGGCTAACCCACTCAGAACTGTCTCAGTCTCAAGTGCCAGGAGGAAGAAGTTTTAGTTTTAAGTAGGGGTGCAGGAAAAAATCGATTCTTAGACGCATCGCGATGCAGATGTGGACGATTCTGAATTGATTAACAAACGTCAAAAATCGATTTTCTAAATATTTAAATTTATAACGTAATGTTGACGGAACGCAAAGGGCGGAACTTGGAAGTGGGTAAGTGCGGCGCCCGGACAGTCTGTGGCGGCACATAACGAAACCACAACTGGATGAGTGAGAAATCCGACTGGCTCCCTCTGCATTAAAGCCAGGTTAGGTCAGGAGTCACAACACAAATGATAAGAAGAGCCATTTTGACCTTTCAACAAAAATCAAACCACCTTGGGAGCCACAACATTTAATGTCCAGTATGTCCCAGTATGTGATGATGTCCTAGTTTAGGCTAAACAATATAAACGAACACGCAGACTTTCTCTGCTCTGCTTTAAGCTTCAGCTCAGCTTTAGCCGCTTTTCTTCCATCTCCGCCAGAAAACCTTTCCTCAAAAGTTGAATAGTTTCTTGTAAAATGTCTCTCGGCGTTCGACTGTTTTACAAGGCCGAAGTCGCTTCTCACTCTCCAGCTCTCTCCAGTCTCCAGTCTGTCTTTCTCTTTTCCTTTTTCGTTCGCTACTAGCCAGGCGAAACCTCGTTTCTACATGACCTGCAGTCTTTCACGCTCCCCCCCTCTATCACGAGACCAAAACCGAAGTTATAAAATCACTAAAGAAAATGGGTAGGACGGCTATAATGCGCTGCGTGGTCATCCATCACCACTGGATCTTATTTCACCATAACAGCGCATTTTATCGCAGATGAGTGGCAGCAGAGTCTCCAAACAAGAGCAGTGAATGAGAGCCTTCCAGTTCACTTGCCACATCACTTTCATTTGTTTTATTAATAAAAGATATTGGACGTAAATGCATTATGGATCATTACAAATACTTTGTTTTAAAACTACCAAGTCCTCACACAGTAAGAAAATAGAGATCATGTATAGAAAAAAAATCGATAATCGTTTTATAATCGCATCGCAGCCCTCAGAATCGTAATCGAATCGAATCGTGAGGTGCCTAAAGATTCCCACCCCTAGTTTTAAGTGATGTTTTTCAGGTTTCACAATAGCATTAGAGGGTACTACACCATCCCATGAAATAATTGTTTGCTGCTTGCAACATATAACCTACAATAGATCAGTCATTAACAGAATGATCCAATAGACTTTCAAATACAGTGTGTTTGTTTATGCTGTATGTGAGTTGTTTTTCCTCAAGCCCTGTACTCCCAGCTGGAAGAGTAACAGAGATTAGACAGAGATTACCTTGAGTAGTAACAGAGATTACATTGAAACTGTTCCTACCTTCAGCAGTTGAGTGGACGGAGCATAACGTGCTGGGTCCTGCAGGAACTTCTCACGTGCCTCAGCGCTGGACAAGTAGTAGACTTTCTCCCTGTACTTGGCTGCAAATTCATCCGTGCAGGGAACCAGAGTGCCCTTCTCCCTCAGCACCACTGGGCAGTACTTGTTAGTGTCCCCGAACCATCTTTTAGTTTCTTTTTCTTCCTATTAGCAACACAGAGATGCAATCTGATTGGAATGCTCTGTGTGAATGTCCAGTATGCGTTAGTTAGAGATGTGTGCTAACCTCTGCCTCTTCAGCCTCATCTTCTTCTGCCATATCAGTCTCCAGCTCAGCCAGTGCATGTGCATCCTCCTCTTCTTCATCCTGGTCCACGCCGGACATCTCCCAGGCCCCATACTTAAACGGTTCTGCAAGACAAGTCAGAAACAGGAATCTCCATTATCTCTTTAGTAGAGATTTTAGTCTGCGGAACCAAAAAGTTTTATTTAATTACTCCTATTTAAAACACAATTTCCAAAAAGGTTGGAATGCTGTGCAAAATGTAAATAAAAAAAAAAAATTGAGTTTGATGCCAACAACACGTTTTCAAAAAGCACTGCATTAAAAACAGACATGATTCTGTAGTTGAAATCACTGCATGGGTTCAGAAATACTTCTGAAAAACACTGTCTGTGAAAACAGTTCATCACTGCATCCACAAATGCAAGTTAAAACTCTAAAGTGCAAAGAAGAAATCATATATAAACAGTATCCAGAAATGCTGACACCTTCTCTGGGCCCAAGCTCATTTAAAATGGACTGAGGGGAAGCGGAAAAGTGTCCTGTGGTCAGACGAATCATCATCATCATCATCATCATCATCATCGTTAACCGCTTAGTCCAGATAGGGTCGCGGTAGCAGTTGGGAGAGCAGAGAATCCCAGGTGACCCTGTCCCCCGCAACTTCCTCCAGCTCATTCCCGGGGACCCCAAGCCGCTCCCAGGCCAACTTGGAGATATAATCCCTCCAGCGGGTCCTAGGACGACCCCGGGGTCTTATTCCGGTAGGCCGTGCCTGGTACACCCCCACCGGGAGGCGTCCCGGGGGCATCCGGATCAGATGCCCGAACCACCTCAGCTGGCTCCTCTCAATGCGGAGGAGTAGCAGCTCTACTCCGAGCTCCTCCCGGATGGCCGAGCTCCTCACCCTATCAAATAGAGTGTAGCCCGCCACCCTGCGAAGAAAGCTCATTTCTGCCGCTTGTATTCGCGATCTCATTCTTTCGGTCATTACCCACAGCTCATGACCATAGGTGAGGGTCGGGATGTAGACCGATCGGTAAACAGAGAGCTTTGCCTTACGGCTCAGCTCCCTCTTCACCACTACAGTCCGGTACAGCGACCGCATTACTGCTGCCGCTTGTCCCAGCCTGCGGTCGATCTCACGATCCTTCTTCCCATCACTCATGAACAAGACCCCGAGATACTTAAACTCCTCCACCTGGGGCAAGTCCTTTCCCCCTACCTGGAGTGGGCATACCATCCTTTTCCGGGCTAAGACCATGGACTCAGACTTGGAGGTGCTGATCCGCATACCAACCGCTTCACACTCAGCTGCAAACCGCTCCAGTGTGCGCTGGAGGCATCCATGTGATCCAGCCAAAAGAACAACATCATCTGCAAATAGCAGAGACGCCACCCTCCGGCCTCCACACATAATGCCCTCCTGACCCCGGCTACGCCTTGACACCCTGTCCATGAATATCACAAACAGGAGTGGAGACAGGGCACAACCCTGGCGGAGTCCAACGCTAACACTGAAAGAGTCCGACTTAATGCCGAGTATACGAACACAGCTCTCACTCCGGGCGTACAGAGATTGAATGGCCCGGAGTAGTAACCCCGGCACCCCATACTCCCGGAGGACCTCCCACAAGATATCTTGGGGAACACGGTCGTAAGCCTTCTCCAAATCCACAAAACACATGTAGACTGGGTTGGCAAACTCCCATGCCCCCTCAACAATCCGTGAGAGGGTGAAAAGCTGGTCCATTGTTCCACGGCCAGGACGGAATCCGCATTGTTCCTCCTCAATCTGAGGTTCAACTATCGGCCGAAGTCTCCTTTCCAGCACCTTGGCATAGACTTTCCCAGGGAGGTTGAGCAGTGTGATACCCCGATAGTTGGCACACACCCTCCGGTCCCCTTTCTTGAAAATAGGGACCACCACCCCGGTCTGCCAGTCCAAGGGTACTGTTCCCGAGGTCCATGCACTATTGCAGAGGCGTGTCAGCCACGACAGCCCCACAATATCCAGAGCCTTAAGCATCTCTGGACGAATCTCATCCACCCCCGGTGCCTTGCCACTGAAGAGCTTGCCAACTACCTCAGTGACCTCCACCAGGGAAATGGAGCTTGACACGCCAGAGGCCTCTGGCCCTGACTCCCGTGAGGGAGGCATGTCACCCGGATTAAGGAGTTCCTCAAAGTGCTCTTTCCACCGACCGACAATATCCTCATTTGAAGTCAGAGTTTCTCCACCCCTGCTGAATACAGCCTGGGCGCAGTCACCCCGACCACTCCTGAGTCGCCGGACAGTTGTCCAGAACCTCCTCGAGGCCGACCGAAAGTCTTTTTCCATGGCCTCACCAAACTCCTCCCACGCCCTGGATTTTGCTTCTGCCACCGTTGCAGCTGCCACCTTCAGACGAATCAACATTTGAAATTCTTTTTGGAAATCATGGACACTGTGCCCTCCGGGCTAAAGACCACTCAGCGCACAGTTCAAAAGCCAGTATTCATGATGGTATAGGGGGCATTAGTGCACATGGCATGGGTGATGTGCACATCTGTGAAGGCACCATTACTGCTGAACAATATATACATGTTTGGCAACATATTCTGCCATCCAGATGACGTCTTTTTCAGGGAAGGCCTCGATTATTTCAGCAAGACAATGTCAAACCACATTCTGCACGTATTACCACAGCATTGCTCCATATTAAAAGAGTCCGGGCGCTAAACTGACCTGCCTGCAGTCCAGACCTGTCACCACTGATAACTTTTGGCACATTATGAAATGAAAAATACAACAAAAGAATTCCAGAACTGTTGAGCAGCTGAAATCCTATATCAAACAAGAATGAGAAAACATTTCACTTTCAAAACTACAGCAGTGTCTCCTCAGTTCTCAAACGCTTACAGTGTTGTTAAAAGAAGAGGTGATGAAACACAGTGGTAAACATGCCCCTGTCCCAACATTTTGGAACGTGTTGTTGGCATCAAATTCAAAATGGGCATATATATTTTCAAAAAACAATAAAATTTCTCAGTTTCAACATCTGATATGTTGTCTTTCTACTATTTTCCTTTACAAATATGGTTTAAATTATTTGCATATCATTGCATTCTATTCTTATTTACATTCTGCACAGCGTCCCAACTTTGTTGAAAATTGGGTTGTATATATGCTTAGAGAAAGTCCACATACGCTCCATTTGGTCAACCATTTCCTGGAGAAGGTGCTGTGGGTTCTGGTTGGCGATATCCAGTATAGCATAGTTGCAAGTGATAGAGGGCTCCATGCTCTCCCAGTCCTGCATAAACTTCCTCACCTGCAGCTCATAAGCTTTCATCTCTGGACCAGGAGGATAGCCCTGCTCCCATGCAGCAGGCAACGTCACCTCTATACAACACATCAGCACATCATATGAGACTGGAAATCGCACAAATGCTGTTTTTCCTGACATTAAATGGAGCAAGAGTGAGGATGTTTGCTTTGGAGGTATCAGAGAGAAAGAAAGCGACAATGCAAAGTAGACACAGAGTGAAGTGAAACCAGGCCTCATACGCCCTGTACTGTAATCAATTAAAAGGCTTTGTGTACATCAAAACACTCAGCATTGTCCTCTGCATGAAAAGGTTATCAATGACAGAGCCTTTGTATCATAAATGTGCACAGTGTATTAAAAATAATACAAAAATATACAAAAATATACAAATTTACAAATCTGTGAGTTCCTGTTGTGCAGGATCCTAAATATGCCAAGCTGTAAAATTAACAATAATGTTATTAGTACCAGTCCCATCAGACTCCTCAGGTACAGCTGCCAGTGTGGAAAAAGCACTGCTATTCTGCACATCCTCTTCTGAGCCCAAAACAAGCTGCCTAAATGGAGTACAGAAGCACAGCAAGTCATAAAATTGGACCTTTCACAGGCTACTTTCTGGCTGGACTCTATAGATCTTAGCAAGTCAAACTGACTGTGTGTCTTGGCTCTTTGCTGCTTTCTGTCTCTGCTCCTCCTTCAGTCGGGCAAGGACAGCCGCATCCACCACCTCCTTGTTCTGCTCATAGATCCGTCTCAGTATTGTTCTTGCTGTAACAACCAACAACCAAACCAAATTACACCACATGATTTAATTATTTAATTTTAAGTCTGGATTATTTTGTACCACCATCAAGTTTAATTCCAACCCAATCACTGAAGTCAGGGGTGGGGAACTCTTGGAGGGCTGGATTCCTGCACAGTTTGGTGATCTTCCCGCTCAAACACACTTGATCCAACTCATCAGTCAATTGCCAGGTTTAGTCAGAGTGTTAAAACTGGGGAAAAAAATAAACTATGCTAAACTCTGGCCTTTAGCTCCCCACACCTGACTTAAGTGATCAGCAGCATGGGACCACATAAAGCTTTTGAGCTCGGTAGTCCATTAAAGAATAGCTTTACAGTGCACTTAAAGTCAGACACAGTGTGAGAAGGTAGGAATATGCATGACTGAAACAAATAATCAAACTTTCTTACTCTCCCCATCATTGTCTGTCAGACAGAACAACACATCAGGCATGAGGCCGGGCTGCAGCTCCTGAACGGCTGCCACCTGAGCTTTGTTGGAGGGGAAGTTGTCCAGCACCCAGCCTCGTTTAAACTCTCCATTTAAACCCTCTGCCTCAATCTAAAGCAACAAACAGAGAAATTACAGTCAAATACAATGTCAATAAAACACGATCCATCAAAAGTTTGGGGAAAAGCCAATTTCTGTGCAAAAACTACGAATCAAATAGATACTACATTGTGAAAATGCCACACACATTTCATAGCCTTGTTGTGATGTCAGCATTTGTGAGTACTCCTTTTAGGTATTTAAACCACCTTTGATGTTTGTCAATATATCTCTGTTGTTGGAAGAAAACCTCCAAAATAATAACTTGACAGGAGAAGGAAAAAACCTAATTTACGTCTAATGTAAGTCAATGGAACCAGACTTTTTTCCGAGTCATTTTGGGTCGTTTCTTTTAGTCCATTCATCATGAAATTTCTGTCATATACAAAGGGCAACAGGTATTTTCAAACTATGTCAAAAACTGAAAAACGTCAAAAATGGACATACAAAGTTTTCTTCCGACAACAGTGATGTGCTTTTAATAATAGTTTGGAAAAGAAAAACTGTCAAATCATCATTTAGAAAAAAAAAAATTTATACCAGGAGGACACTTCGATGAACATGAACATGACAGCTGGAGAATGTAGCAAAAGTATTAGTAAACATGTTTTATGTTAACAAAACCTTTGCACGTTTTGTAATTAGTTAAAAAGGAAGGCAAGGTGTCCCCAAACATTTAACAGGCAGTGTATGTATTTCAGTTAATCTGGAAAGTCTGTCTTTCTCTATAAAAGAACAGCCTTTCAAGCAGCCCACCTCTGTGATCGTCTTTTGTAGGAGTTCCACACACATGTCCTCTGGGGGTTCTACAGAAGCCTGCTCCGCCTCTTTTATGGCCTCTTCTACCAGGGCTCGTACCGCGGGGTGATCTTCAGTCACCTCGTTTTCTGCAGTGACAACCATTAAATTATGCAGATATTTTTAAAGATGGGTTCACTTAAAAATGAGATGTTCGCTCAACTCAAACTTCTTAGTTGAGTCAGAAGTTCTCTTAATGTTTTATTTCTGCATCTCAGTGAGGTAAATAAAACAAACTTATTTTTTATACTCAACTTCCCCTACTGGCCAGGATTCTCTCCATCACACAATCCTGCTGGACATTTTTCCTCTTGGGTTCTCACTTATGGATGGCTGTGGCATCACTGGGGCTCAAACTCATAATCTCCTGTTGGGGTGACGGTCCACTGTCCACTGCACCACCTCAGATTTTGCGACTACAAATGTTTAACTTTAAAGCACAGTGTCGTCTCATGTGGTGCAACTGTCTAATAATTCATCCCAACATCAGGAGGTTGTGAGTTTGAACCCCGGTAATACCACAGCTGTCCATATCCGGAAGCCCAGAAGGAAAATCTGCCAGATAAGACTATGTGATAGAATGAGCGCCAGCTAGTGGGGAAACTGAGTTACAAAAACCCAATTTCAGTTTTGTTTATCTAACTGAGATGCAAAGCTAGAAACAGTACCTGTGAGAACTTTTGACTTAACAAGAAGTTTGAGTTGGGTGAACTCTGATGTCCTCAAGTTGAGCCAACTTAAGAAAAGCCATGTAATCAGTTACTATATCATTTTAAGTTGAGCCAGCTTCTCTTTTATTACAGTGTGCCATTCTCCTTTAACCCCTTAAACGGCCAGGGCCCACCAGTGGGCGCAAAGGTTTATTACACACTTCTATAACCTAAGAATACACACTTAAAACGCTTAGTTCTTCAAGGGTTCTTTAGTAAAGAAAATGGTTCTATATAGAACTACAAACACCAGAACCATTTGCATGATTAATTGGGTCTCTGCATGGTACAATGGTTCTTCAGACTGATGGAGAATGTGCTGTAGATGGTTTTTGAAAAGGCATCTATATAGCAACACAAAGGGTTCTGCTGTTGTGACAATATCAAGCTTGTAACAAAAGTAGGAGAACCCTTTTTGTTGCCTTATAGAACCATATACAACACATTTTCCATCAATCTGAAGAACGATTTCACCATGCAGAGACCCAATCAATCATGCAAACGGTTTTTTGAGTGTTCATAGTTCTATATAGAACCATTTTCTTTACTAAAGAACCCTTAAAGAACCATCGTTTTTAAGAGTGTAGCTCAAGCAGTTTGCATTGAAGTTCCTGTAGTTACTGAATACTAAGTGTTAGTATGCAACAAGCCTGGGTTTTTAAGGGGTTAAAGGGGGTGAGGCTACTGTATTCTAACAGCCAAGTAGGTGTCTGATCTGTCCAAGTTTCACTGTGGTATTTACCAGATCAGAAATTCATACACGAGATATCCTCTCTTCTCTTTATACACATCATTATATTCTACATTTTACCTTCCCTGTTTATTCCGCTGGTTGGCAGTGAAGCTGCTTCTATGGAGGAAAACAGATCATGCAAATCAATCATCACTCTGCAGATAAAATAAGTGAAAAAAAAAACAAAGCATTTTAATGTTTCACTCACCAGAACCAACCTCTTCAGTCTGTCCATCCTCTTTGAGCTTGGCATCTGCATCACCTACAGAGAAAGCTCCAGTTTATTGTGCAAGCAGTGCCATATTACTACAGAAAGTTTTGGTTTTGAAGCTCTTTTCATTACTTCTATTTGGCTTCTAACAGCCACATTAGCATTTTGTACACCCTCCACTAATTTCCTCTTAATCCTTTAACCCTTCTATTTAGTGAGCTCTCACCAGGACTGTGTGGCATCTAGCTCCATCTGAACCTTGACCTTCTCCAGGGCCGCAGTAATCGCATCCTGACGCGCTTTCTCCAGCATTTCTTGCCTGACTTTGTCTACAAACTGGCTCCATCTGCTTCTTCAAATCTACCAGCACTGCCCCATAACGCTTAGCCAATAGTGCACTCAGAGTGCTCTTTCCAGAGCACGGTGGCCCAATCACAGCCACTTTACAAGGTGGGCGTGGCAGGGGCGGGAGCAGGTACCCTCTTGGATTCACCATGAACTTCTGTAAAGCCTCTTGAGAGGACAGGACGTACATCTTATCCAGGAAGCTGGTACAAAAGAACAGCAAAAATGTCATAAATGGTTGTGTGAAACTACAAGCAATACATCTGCAACTTATTCCTAAAATGATAGTTTGGCAAAATAATTACAATGGTCAAATTTACACAATGGACAACTGCATGAACAAGACAGCTGCCACTACTGTTTATATGGACATATGCAAAGGTTTGTGCACCCCATCACACACACACACACACACATCATCTAAACCGCTTATCCTTCTGGGTCGCTGGAGCCTATCCCAGCTGTCATTGGGTGCAAACTCAGAAATGACCCTGGTCACCCGGCCGGGAATCGAACCCAGGCCATTCTTGCTGTGAGGCGACAGTGCTACCCACTGCGCCATCGTGCCGCCCTGCACCCCAATCAAATTACATTTTGTTGATTTTTTAAGTCAAAATAAGTTAAAACATTAAAAGTGGCCTGTACAAAAGTTATGGCACATTTCATATTTTATGTTTTACGATATCCAATATGGTAAAATCAGCAAACAAACAGAAATTGTGCACTAATTAGAAACTAAGAAGAAACTAATTTAGAATACAATAGAAACTAATTTGCACAAAATGGCACGTTTGTTCTCTGTATAGGATGTGTTAACTAATGTTCACTTAGAAATTTAACAAAACATGCCATTTGACCAGAAGCGTTCAACCTTTTGCAGTTTGCTTTAGTCTATTTTTATAGATAACAGTATATCATACAGCGTCAAAAATCATCGTAACTCCTTACTGTAAGATAGTGTTCATAAGGCTACGTGGCACCTACATTAGCCCTTCATGACAGCTGACATTATCCTATAAAACATTTATAAACACTTATTCCGATACACATCATCTGTCATAATTTTGGTGTCAAGTCTGACATTAAGTTGTGTCATGATACTTTCTGGGGAGAACGGCATAGACCAGAGGTCACTAATAGGCGGACCCCAGTCTGAGTCCGGACCCAGACACTATGCGGACCTGAACCTATAACCGATAAACTATGGAGAATTATTTAATTTTGACAAGGTGGTCCTATTTTAATCTGCGTAGCTTTTCTAGCCTTTACGGTACTGATTTACAGCCCGGGAGACTCACAGACCAATCGCCTGCATTGTAAATATCACACATGACGCTACTTGGCCAATCAGATCTGTGCATTACGATGAGCACTGAGACTCGAGTGAGTGATGCACACACAGGGGAGGGAGGAGGGGAGAAACAGCAGTCGGAGAAGAAAGTGAGTCAGAGGGAAGTTGTTTCACATGGCGTGCTCTAAAAAGAGAAAACTGAAAATAAATATTGTTGAAATATTATTGAATTGCACATTATTTGATCTGACATTCAGCTGTTGACTACATAAGATGTTGATATAACTACTAGGCTACTTCAGTTTACAGTATATGGCACTGAATCATGATGCAAGTTAGACATTATGATGTTCTGGACCTTTGCTTGAGGAAATTTTATCTAACTGGACTTTAATGAATTTTAATTAAAGACCCCTGGCATAGACTGTGCAGCTCAGTGTATGTCACAGTGACTGATAATAGTGCTGATAATATGATCTAGCTTGGTTAAACGAAAGTAAGCAATTTCTGTGGCTCTTTACTTAAAGTGAGTTTTACTGTGCCATTTATAAGATTTAATCTATGTCCCATTATCAGCATTATGTCACTACAAAGTGACTTGTTTATGTCATTTACCCAAAAAAGTATCACGACATAACCCAATAACAGGTGCTATATCACCTAACAAAACTGACAAAAGCAAACTTTATGGCAGAAGATTGGAATTAGGCTTTATAAATGTTTATGCAAGTGTATGTCGGTTCTGACAAGCTTATGTAGGCTTACGAACGCTGTCCCACAGTAAATTGTTACTGAAACCAGATAAGCAAGTCAATTTGACATTGCATAACAACTCAACACAGTTTGAGACGAGTGAATGAATTTAGTCATGCACAGTGTTTGTACAGTGCTTACTGATAGGGTTTAAGCTTAGCTACATCAACTCTGTAACTCCAGTGCATAACTACAGAAGGAAACTTTAGACATTAAACATGTCTTGGCTGACCGACTACATCTGGAGTAAGAGGAGAAATTGTGTAAATTTTCTTTTTTTTATTTTGCCAAACTATGCCTTTAAGGAAATACTTCACCAAAACAATGTTAACATCATTAACAGTGAAGAAAATGAGAAACTGGCCCTGATTAGTGCTCTTTAATCACTAGCCTCATAACCTTTTTTAATTTTTTAAGTTAAATACAGAGAGATTCACTCGAAAGAGGCCCCAGATATTCTGTAATAACTCTCTCTAGAACTAAGCAATCTGAACGAAACAATGCACAATGTGCTCCTCAATGTGTGGAGCTTCGAACAAGCCAGGATGCCCGTGCGTCGGCGCGATGAGGTAGGCGCCGGACAGCCATCCCGACGTTTAACATCTGTTTGCAACATCCGGGTGCATACCCCTGTACCCCTTCATGTGTCTGGCAGAAACCGGAGATCACTTCCAGCATATGTGCAAGGTATGTAGCGTAATTTTTTGGTTCAGATTGCTTCATCCTAACGGGAGTTACAACAGAATATTTGGGGCCTCTTTCAAGTGAATCTCCCTGTATTTCTCTAAAGTGTCTGTCTGCACTAACCCAACTGAAAATTCTGGTTTGCCTCTGATGATCTTGCCCTCTTTGAGTGCAACAGGGCAAGTGCAGGACCATCGACTCCTACGCCAGCGGAAGCCTGGTAAAACAGTATTTCTGGAGGACAGCATACGCAACAGCTCCTCCTGCATCATATAAGACAGGGAATATTTAGTTGAAAGAAAATGAATGGTGCCTGGCATTGTTCAGTATGAGAAAAGGGGCACTGGACCGTGTCTATCTCCTCTGGCAATTCCTCCTCTTCGAACAGCAGGCGTACAGGTACAGCCGCTCTCCTCACAGCCATGGACTCCAGGCGAGCCATTACACACTACACACACCAGAGAAACAGCTAATCCACAATTGAAGCATTACAATTCAAAGGCCAACTATAACTACACTACTTGTGTTTCACTAGATCTATTTCACAGTCCAAAGTTGGAGTCGGACAAGTCACCCACCCCAAAAAGCTCCTCTGGGTCCTTGTTTCCATCTAGTTCAAATAGGTACTGGGGGTCATGATCTGCCATGTAGTCCTACACAGGTAAAAACATACACAAATATAGTTAATTACTGTTATTGTTACTATACATAAAAAATAAAAACGATGGATATAGATATACAGTATTGCTCAAATGTTAAAGACCACAAATCCTTCCTTTAATTTCAAGTCAAAATGATCATTAGTTTACTTTACAACTAGTTTATATTACAATTTATTCATTTTTCAGGAGATGTTTCTAAGGAGATAAGGTAATCCACTTGCATAAGGAAGAGAGGAGAGGACAGAAGGAGACAGAAAGAAAATAAGTGAAAAAACAAAGTTTTCAAAACTGGAGTTCAAAATATAATCAAATGATATATAGAATATGGGACTCCTAACGACTGTGTAGAATCTGGTAGACCAGGCGTGTCAAACTTAACCACTAAAAGGGCCGTATTAAAAATTTTCAGCAAATCCGTGGGCCAGCTGTGTTTTTATTTCATTTTTACATTTTGTCATGAGCCAAGTGGGGCATTGTTTATTCAAATTATGACAAAACTACAACAGCAAAAAAGGCATTGAATAATTATTAAAAAATAATTTGAAATAAAAATAAACTGTTTTAGATTAGTTTTTTAGACACCAGGCATCTTTTCTTTTTGTCCATAGATTGTTGTTGGGGGTCAGAACGCACACTATGTTGCAGTGCATGCTGGGAACTGTAGTGCATTTCAGGTTGAAACGGGTTAATAAGAAAAGAAAATTAAAATAATTTCGTGGGCCGAATAGGACTGTGTCACGGGCCATATGGGTGGTAGACCATCAAAACTGTGACCGTCAGACAGACAGTACTGAAAGCCTTTGTCTTTGAGGGAGAGGAGAAAATCAAGCTGGTGTCAAACAGGTGTTTCTGTCCATCCTTCCACTGTGAGAAGACGACTCAGCACTATGGGTCTGAAATGATGTGTAACTGTCAAGAAGCTGTTACTTTACAAATCAAACAAAGAAGCTGCTGGGGTTCTCAAAACAATGGACTGACCGCTCCGGAGTCCAGACCTTAACATCACTGAATGTGTTTGGGATTACTTAGATTGTGAGAAGCAGAAAATGAATCTTCTAAGACTGAAATTTGGAGGTGTGGAAGAATGTTCCTGCAGATTTCTTTGAAAAACTGTAAGTGAATCCTCCTGAAAAGATCGAAAGCTGTAATAAAGACAAAGGCTGGACACATTAAATATTGAAATATTTGATATAGTTGTGGCTTCTATGTAGTTTTCTATTAATTGTTTTCTGTCTGAACAGTGAATAAGTTGTACTTAATGACCGCTTTGACTGGAAATGAAGTAAATGAAAGGTGGTCTCTGACTTTTGCACAATACTGAAGATACATAGGCATACATTTCATTATGCAACACACCTAATGAAGCGCATATAGTTGACTATTACTAAAACGACTATTACTACTGCAGTGTGAACCACCAAGATTCCTTACCTCCAAAGGCCTGAGTATAGTGTCTTTATAGAGCTGAATCCTCTGGCAGGCCTCCTCTGGGAAATTCTCCTTCACCCTCACCAGGTGGCTGATCATGTCCTTCTGTAGCTCTTCTTCCTCCTCCTTACACACACACACAACCATCATTATTCACAGTCATTGCACTTTCCTTCACAGTTCCATTATGACCCTCCAGTTTGCACACATGCTGCACACACTCCAGTAGTAATAATACACCGATCAGGCATAACATTATGTCCTTGTTTCTACGCTCACTGTCATTGTTGTGCTGGTATGAGTGGGTCAGACACAGCAGTGCTGCTGGAGTTTTTACAGTCCACTCACTGTCCACTCCATTAGACACTCCTACCTTGTCAGTCCACCTTGTAGATGTAAAGTCAGAGACGATAGCTCATCTGCTGCTGCACAGTTTGTGTTGGTCATCCTCTAGTCCTTCATCAGGGGTCACAGGACGCTGCCCACAGGACGCTGTTGGCTGGATATTTGTGGTTAGTGGACTATTCTCAGTCCAGTAGTGACACTGAGGTGTTTAAAAACTCCAGCAGCACTGCTGTGTCTGATCCACTCAGACCAGCACAACACACACTAACACACCACCACCACGTCAGTGTTACTGCAGTGCTGAGAATGATCCACCACCCAAATAGTACCTGCTCTGTGAGGGTCCATGGGGGTCCTGACCACTGAAGAACAGGGTAAAAGGGGGCTAACAAAGTAAGCAGAGAAACAGATGGACTACAGTCTGTAACTGTAGAACTACAAAGTGCACCTATATAGTAAGCGGAGAGGATAAAATGGACAATGAGCGTAGAAACAAGGAGGTGGTCATAATGTTATGCCTGATTGGTGTATACGCAAATCATGCTTAACTGTTGCTATACTTATTCTACCTCTCCCTCCTCCTCCTCCTCCTCCTGCTCTTCCTCATCCTCCTGTTCTTCCTCGTCCTCTTCTTCATCTTCCTCCTTAGAGTCACTCCTCTTCTTAGGTGTCTCCTTTTTCACAGGGTCCCACTGCTCCTTCAGAAACACACGGCCTGTCTCCGGATGCTGCCGCTGGCCCCCCAGCCGGTGGATCAGATCTTTGTCTGCACACTACAGAGTTTAAATAGAGAAGGACAATTTGTCTAAAAATCATTCACTGTTTCTGTTCACGGTGTTTAGTGCATGATGCTTTGCATATCTTGTGTTGTTTCCATATTCATTGTATCACCACCTTCTATCAGTCTGTTCATTCAACCCACTTGTTGAATGATATACAGCTGCAGAACAGCAAGGTCACAATAAAGAGGGTTACCTTGATGTTGATGATGATGTCTGGTGGCATTTTTAGGTTTTTAAACAACTCCATTTGCTCAGGTATCTTCAGGTATTCCTCAGACATCGACGGCAGGCATGAAAGAACATAGCCTGGCCAACCACGACAAATGCAAAGAAAAATTCAAATCATTCAATATTAACATTAACTGCACAATACTACATGAGAGCCCTCCACAGGATTACCTAAGGGTTTCTTCTGAACCTTTGCCAATGACCAGTCAATGAAAATGAAAGTATTTAACCCTTGTATGGTGTTGATGTGTTTGTTACTCAGTGGTCTGGTGGACCCACCACATTATTGTTTTTTTTAATCTATACAGCCATAACTATTACTGTAAAAATACCAGATGTTTAAAATATCACAAGTGGCCAGCGTAGGGTTCTCCTTTAGCAGCTGTTGCCAGTCAGCAGCCTGTCCAGGTTGTCCACCCTCACACACACACTAACAGCAGGCCATGTAGGAGGAGAACAAAGTGAAGGACACAGCACCTCCACACTTTTACTCCCCGCTGGTTCACCCCAACACTGATGTGGTGGTGGTGTGTTAGTGTGTGTTGCGCTGGTCTGAGTGGATCAGACACAGCAGTGCTGCTGGAGTTTTTAAACACCTCAGTGTCACTGCTGGACTGAGAATAGTCCACCAACCAAAAATATCCAGCCAACAGTGTCCTGTGGGCAGCGTCCTGTGACCACCGATGAAGGACTAGAGGATGACCAACACAAACTGTGCAGCAGCAGATGAGCTATCGTCTCTGACTTTACATCTACAAGGTGGACTGACAAGGTAGGAGTGTCTAATAGAGTGGACAGTGAGTGGACAGTGTTTAAAAACTCCAGCAGCACTGCTGTGTCTGATCCACTCATGCCAGCACAACACACACTAATACACCACCACCACGTCAGTGTTACTGCAGTGCTGAGAATGATCCACCACCCAAATAGTACCCGCTCTGTGAGGGTCCATGGGGGTCCTGACCACTGAAGAACAGGGTAAAAGGGGGCTAACAAAGTATGCAGAGAAACAGATGGACTACAGTCTGTAATTGCAGAACTACAAAGTGCACCTATATAGTAAGTGGAGCTGATAAAATGGACAATGAGCGTAGAAACAAGGAGGTGGTCATAATGTTATGCCTGATCAGTGTGTGTTCTTTACAGAAAATGAGCAAAGGCCAAGGAATCTGAGGTTGAAATAAACACTGAAAGTAGGTCCCAGAGACCCCAACACCACACAAGGGTTAATTATGGGAAAATGGGAATTTTTATCAGCCAATAAATAACCTAATCTTCATCCATGCTTTATTGGGCCTTTGGTTAGTTTGGTTCGCTTGGCTTTCTTACCATAGTTTTCCACCTCTGGTGACTTGAGTTTATCAAGAATCAACGCGACCACCTTCTCCTCCGGAATGCTCTTCCCTTCAGCCAAGATAGCTGAGAGCTAAAACCCGAACATCACAGCAGATGTGGGAGAAGTGTTAGGACATAGAACAAAACCTCAAAATAATATGAACTCTACTCTTCAATATGAAGTTATATAGAAAATATAAAAGCAAACAGACTCATACCTCTTCGCCTCGCTCCGTACCATCACGAATATGACTGTTGAGCAACTCCGTGTCTGGAGACACAGGATGCAAAACTCAAATACATTACAACAAAACTTAGTGACTAAACGTATTGATTCAAAGGAACAAGACGAAGGATTACCGTCAATGAGGACACATCTCCACGTTTGGGCTAATTTCCTGGCAAGGGTAGACTTGCCAATACCCTGCAAAAAAGAAAATTAGACTTTTTAGAAAACTTTTTCATGTCAATACATGAAAAAACAAAAAACAAAACAGAAAATCAAAAAAAAAAAAGCAGAATGTCACTGTCACACTTTCCCTATGCCCCTCTGAGTGTGCCTGTTTCTTCCTGTTCTTGTAGCGCTGTGCTTTTACCATGTGCTTTTGTTTTTGTTTTCCTTTTCCCTCCTTCCCTATTAGGATTTCCACCTGTTTGCAGTTCCTGTCTCCTCCCTCTCTCAGGTGTTCCCTACTGTTTCTGCCTATATCAATCCCTTTGTTCCAGTCCTTGGTTGTCTAGTCTACGTCATGTTGTTACATGTAGTGGTTACGTGTCTGGGGCCGTATTACAGAAAATCCTTAGGTCTGAGATCTGCATTGTTGTCAGGGCAACTTCAGTTAAGACTGAATTTAGGACAGAAGCCATTACAGAACAACAGGTCTTAAGTCTATAATCTTATTTCCATATGAGAAAACGGTTTTACAGAAACATCCTAAGTTGCCAAAATATCCTAAATATTTTATTAACTGTAAGATAAACCCAGAGCGTCTTGCCTTCTGTTTTAACCGTCTGTTTATATTGTTTTATGCAGTAACAGGCAGCAAAAAACAGCACAGTTCACTATAAGTGGCATGATGATGCTAAATTTATCTACACTCAAATCGCTGCTTTGACTTGAGTTTTTTTTCTAACAGCGTTTAAAAGCCCCCAGACTCTGCAGACTTGATCTCCACCGCCTCTTATTACCTTCGTGTGTTGATGTTGATGATGAAATATTACAGTGATGGTGGTGAATAATGAGGAGACGGAGCTGAACGTGTGTGTGTTTATTAGGAGGAGTAACATTAGCGCGCTCGGCTAAAGTGTTTGGGAAATGGAGACTGAAACTGTGGAGCGGCGACTCTGATGAGCAGCACGAAGCACTGATACAACATTCTCAACTCCCAGTTTATCGCGCTCTAGTTTTGTTTGACGTTCTTTACACCAGTAACGGCAGCTACTGTTAGCTGTCTGGCTAACTAACTTGATTACGTGTTTATGTTTCAGCTGTGCACGTATGGTCGGTTGCTAGGTAACAGACACGACAGCGGATGGTCGACTTCAATCAAGTAAGTTAAGATTTCTTAACTTGAGATAAGAAAAGACGCTGTAAGATAAGATTCTTAAATTAAGATCAGATTTGCTTCTGTAATACGAATTCGTGAAAAATCTTATCTTGACCCGTCAGATCTTAACTTAAGACAAAAAGATAGTAATTTTCTGTAATACGGCCCCTGGCCTGTGTTTGTTTTGCTTTATGTAGCGAAGGCTGTTACGAAGCTTTTTGAAGCATCAACACAGCTGAACCAGTTGTATCGGAAAATGGTTCAGTGTTTCGAAGCAAAATGTAATTTTTAATTTTATTTATTTATTTATTTTGTAAAAGCTCCCCTCAAATTAACAGAACATGTGTTTTATGATCACACACATTGCTATATGCTTACAATTTACTGCCTGAAAGCCAAAAATCTTAGACGCTCTTTGTATTATTTTATAAAAATAATTTTTACAGAGCAGATCACTGAAGAGACGCCATCTGTTTATAGTTTACAGCCCAGATTTGTGGAAAAATGGGTCGACTTTCAGTAGACAAAAAAATTGTTCAGCTTCTTTTATTATAAGGGTTTAAAATTACATCACCCGTCTATTTGACTGGAAAGAAGACAGTTACAGCTCTCATACGACCCCCACCTTCTGAATGTAGCTTATGAAATATGAAAGTTATGAAGAATATGACGAAGTGCGTTTTGGAACCACCGGTGGTCTCAAGGAGCTGAAGAGGTTTTTTAAAGTAATCCCAAACACATCCTTTACTCAGTAACGGTTTTCTTGACAGCTATACATCTTTTCAGACCATACACACTATCATGCCACTTTTATGTTGGTCTCACTGCTGTGAGCATGTCCACCAACTCACTGTCTGGTCAGCAGTGGTCCCAGAGGCTGCAGTCCCCAGTTATATCCCTACAAAGTGGACCAATATGGTTCTGCAGCAGAGCGTAACACTGTGTTAAATCTGACAACTCACCGGCTTCCCGACAACAATAAAGCAGGCAGGCTTGGCCAGCAGATACTCCTTCTCAGCTTCATCTTCTATCAAGCTGTCAGTAAAAGCAGGTCTGGTCGCCATGGGAATAAGAAGGCCTTCAGACAGTGCTGAGGGATAAAGTATGTATATATAGCAGGTCATGAGAGATAAAGCAGTGAGTTTAATAAATGACATATGTCTGTGATTTTATAATAACAATAATAAATCAATGAAAATCAAAAAAGAGATCTGCTTAATGTCTTTGAAGTTTCCCCTACACAACAGAATGTAATACTGATGATGGAGATCAAAAATAAAGATCAGACAGTTTGAGACTTCTGAGCCAAAGACTCCAGTAATCTCATGTGTCTCCTCTTGAGTTTTAGGAGATCTCAGTAAAGTCACACATCGCTGTTGTCTAAAGAAAACCTTGTATCTCCATTTTTGACATTTTTCAGATTTTGGCATAATTTCAAAATGCCTGTTGACCTTTACATTGTGTGTAAATTTCATGATGAACGGACCAAAAGAAACGACTCAAAATAACTTGGAAAAAAGTCTGGTTCCATTGACTTACATTAAAAGTAAAGCAGGTTTTTTGCTTCTCCTGTAAAGTTACCATTTTGGAGATGCGAGGTTTTCATCCGACAACAGTGACATGCTCAGATATGCCAAGATAATAACATTTCTCTTTATCTGCAACTGAACTTTCATTTTGTTTATCTCTCCTGTATCTCATATCTCTTTTCGTCTAATGCTTTAGGAGATTCACTGTAACATTTTCCTCTGGGAAGCAAAGCTGGGAGTTTACTGTCATTTTGTTAAAGAGGAAATTCCTCAATTTTTCAAAACTTATCAATAATTCAGTCCTTGAAATGTAAACAGTCATTCAAAGTGGTTTGATTAGAAATGGATTCATTATAGAGAAACCTTTTTTATTTACAGTGGTTGTGATGGGAAGCAGAAGTCATGACTTTTACAACACAAAATAGCCTTTTATTTACTATCCAAAACCACCAGTGAACCTACACGAGTCTTCTGAGCTTTTATATTTCAATTTAGAAGACATGTTTAGGTCGAACAGTGATAAATCTGAAAAAATACATTTTCTTTGGGGACTATTTTGTCTTACAATGCCCTGCATGCCCCCCCCTGCCATAAACAGGAGTAAAATAAACTGATCAAAATAGATTTTAAGCCAAACCTTTATTACAAGGCTATCATAAAACAGTTTGCCAGACATCTGGCAGTGTTTATTTAACCATTTCATATACCTAATAACTTTCTGTGAGGGAGCTTTCAGGAGCATTAAACTCTTCAGACGTCTGGTTCCCATCACCACCACTGTGAACAATTCTGACTCGGCAAGTTTCTCTAGCGCTGAGCATTTCACATCAAACCACTCTCAGTGACTTGCTTCACATCACAACCATTTCATTGTGTAGGCGCTTTGAAAATTCGGTGGAGTTCCCCTTTGAGCTACAGTATGGTGTAGGCAAGTTACACGGTTATTTAGACAGCAAGACAGCAGCCCACAGCAACCAACAGCCACCATGAACACGTTTAATTAAACGTTTAATGTAAAATTCAGTAACGTTGCAGCTTTAAAAGACGCTTCTTTAGTTATTTTGGTTACCTGGGGCAAGTTACTGTGCTAGCTAGGTAGCTTGGCGTTAGCTTAATTCACTTAACTACTTCGGGTTGTTTGCGGCTCTTTACGTTTAAGAAGAAATAATGTTAATATTGGTCTGGCAGTCTTGCTCTATCGATAGCTGTAGCTTAGCACAGCGCTAACTAACGTTATATATATTCTTACCAAAGGTAGAGACGGTTAGCTAATGTAGCTTAGCTTTCCATCCTTCACTCAGCGGCTGTGTTGAAGCGTAGCCATGGTGACCGCGCTTCAGACCGTAGATAGACATACCTAGATGCCGCGTTGGGTCCAGCCAGGCACGTCAACGGCGCCGCCATGTTAGGGCGGTCAACATCGCTGCTGGACTGCATTCAGTACCATTACAGAGCGGCAGTTTAAGAAAGATACTGTCCAAAATTACACTATTTCAAGAATATTGCTCTCAGAAAGTGGGATAGGATTATATAACGGAGGGAACGCAGAGATCCACACTCATGTTTGTGTGATGTTTATGTGTAGATATGGTCGTGTGGTTGGTGAAGCACAGAGAACCTGTTGATGTGATTGTTTTTCCTCTGGTTTTATGTTAAGCTTATTTCATTTAATAGTCTATTCAGGGGGTCTTAACTTTATGTAGTAGTTGTTTATTTACAGTGATGGTTAAAGCTTTTGTAAATTATATAATTCCTTAATCTGTGTAGATATTCATAGTAGATTAATGTTAGCACCTTCTTACACAAACTTGAAGTTACCTTCTTATTTGCCAGCATCTTGTTCGAATTTTCCTGTTCCACCTTAAATGGTGCAGCTTCAGCCACCAGAAAGTGACTGCTGCACCATTTAAGGTGGAACGGGAAAACTCAAAGAAAAAGCTAGTGAATAGGAAGCCAACTTTAGCTTCGTCCTTCTTACTCGGTTTTTAACGTCAGGTGCAGACTGAATACTTTCCTGCTGGTGTGGACGGCTAATTATCACGATCAGTTATTAAAGTAATAAAAGCTACTGAGAGCAAATCCGTGCAGCCTGGATTAATCTGTGTCTGAGGATTATAACAAAACAGATTTGGTGAAGTTGTGAAGTAAGGAAGTTGTGGCTGATTTAATCCTGAGACTCTTCGTCTCTCAATACAAGTGAATTTGTTCACAAGCGGATCTTGACCTCTCCAACATGGCGGACGCGCAGACGTATCGCCTCAGATAGAGAACCACAGACAATGCAGCATCTAGGTATGAATATCTGTGGTTCAGACTGAGAGTCAGGAGCACAGAGCAGCTTCCAGGAGCTACAGCAAGGCTGTCAAACTCATACGGCGGCGCTTTAGGGAGACTGTTAATAGACTTCGAGAATAAAGTCGTAATATTTCGAGAAAAAAGTCGTAGAATTCCGACATTAAAGTGGCATTAAAACCAGGAAAGGTCGAAATATTGTGGCCAAAGTCTTTGCGCACGGAAGCAGCGCCTCCTTTTAAATGAGGGGCGCTGAGTTGGTGGAGTTCTACTTTCATATCGATTCACCCATAAAGAAACACTCAGTCTCTCCTGCACATCAGCACCAGCCTGTTATTAGAATAAGAACCGGCTGAAACGGCTGAGCAGGAAACTGTCTATCTAGAATAAAGAGCCAGACGGACTCGGAGGAAACTGTCTGTCTGTTTTGTTGAAGGAGAATCTCAGGCACTTTATCCTCCAAATATTACGACTTTTTTCCTCGAAATATTAATTTGTTCTGGAAATATCTCGACTTTTTTCTCGAAATATTACGACTTTATTCTCGAAATTCTCGAAATATTACAACTTTTTTCTCGAAATATTACGACTTTATTCTCAAAATATTACAACTTTTTTTCTCAAAATATTACAACTTTTTTTCTCTAAATATTACAACTTTTTTCTCTAAATGTTACAACTTTTTTTCTCTAAATATTACAACTTTTTTCTCGAAATATTACGACTTTATTCTCGAAATAGTACGATTTTTTTCTCTAAATATTACAACTTTTTTCTCTAAATATTACAACTTTTTTTCTCGAAATATTACGACTTTTTTCTCGAAATAGTACGACTTTTTTCTCTAAATATTACAACTTTTTTCTCTAAATATTACAACTTTTTTCTCTAAATGTTACAACTTTTTTTCTCTAAATATTACAACTTTTTTCTCGAAATATTACGACTTTTTTCTCGAAATATTACGACTTTTTTCTCAAAGTCTACTATTTTTATTTTCATCAACAGTGGCCCTAAAACGCCGTCGGAAACTCAACCACTAAAATGGCCATTTTAAAAAATCTCAACAAATCTGTGGGCCAGTTGTGTTTTTATTTTATTTTTACTTAACAATTTGCCAAGATTCAAAATATGTTAAAACTACAATGGCAAAAAAAAATAGGCACTGAATACTTGAACGATTCACAAATAATTTTAAATAAAAACTAATTGTTGTATATATAAAAATAGACCACATTAACTACATTAAACTCTTTGGCATCTTTTTTCTTGTTGCTTTTGTGGCGCTGTCCCATGGATCGTTGCTGGGTAGGGGGTGGGTGCACACATTACAATGCAGTGCATGCTGGGAACTGTAGTGCAGTTGATGGTGAAACTGGCTAATGTTAATAGAAAATTACTGTCCATTTGAACATCCATACTGAGGTGGGTAAAAGTACTGTTTCTTCAGAAGCGACTGAGGTCTGTATAGAACTACAGTAGACTGTTTTAAGGCCCTACAGCGCCTTATATCCCATATAAAGTTAGCCTGATGTTAACATTCGTCAGACATTTACTGTCTACAAGGTTTAACAGATGGTTAAAAGTCTGACAGGTTTGCTTATCTATCTTAATTATCTAATTGTAACTCAAGAGAGTGTGCGGCGTTAAAGGGGAATCCCACCCATTTTTTCAGAATTTCTCCATAACTAAATATTTAAAACATGAACAAAGTCATTTACAATGGGTTTCATGTGAAACGCTCGATTCGAGAAGCACTCCAAGTCAGAATAATCCACAGTGGTGGTGATAGGAACCAGACGTCTGAAGCGTTCAGTACCTCTAAAAGCAACATTACAGAGTGTTGTCGCATTAAGTGGTTATGAATACGCAGCCTGATGCCTGAGACATGTTTTATCATGGTTTTATAACTTTTAGCCTTAAGCTTATTTTCATATTCATTCATTCATGGTGGAGGGGTACATACAGGGTGATGTGAGGCAAAATAGTCCCCAAAGACAGCTAGTTTTACAGTTTTGCCAGTGTTTCAACTTTATCAGCATTGCATATACAAAAAAAGATGCATGTAGGTTCACTGGTGGTTTTGGATGGTAAATAAAATGGTATTTGGTTGTAGACAGCCTGACCCCTGATTCCCATCAGCACCACTGTAAAGACATCTGAGTCAGAAAGTTTCGCTAGAATGAACCACTTCATATCAAAACACACCGATTGACTTTGTTCTCATCTCCATGACAGAATTATTGAGAAATTTTGAAAAAACTGGGGGAATTCCCCTTAAAGCCTGTCTTCAAAGAGACCTCTCAGAGAGAGAACAGATCTGTAGATTAATAGCTCACAAAATGACTGATCTTAAAACGGACTAAAAAATGAGCAACAGGGTGGCGTTAATGATGCACAGCGTTTGACTGATGGGTGGGATGTAATATTATTTTATATGAACCCTCTATTGCACAATGTTGCCTCAAGGCAACAAACTCACTTTACATTAACATTATACATATTTAAAGACAGCGATAGGGTTAACGAAGAGTTTGAGTACGTCAAGAAAAAGCATGTACTTGGTCATACCGTCTCTAACTGGGTACATTTAAACCTTTTATAAGTTCAGTATAAATTTTTTTGTTACAAGAATTTGCAGAAATATGTTTCTTGCCTAGAAGCAACATTGTGTGACAGTGAAATGGATTTAGCCAGTCACAAGCCAGGTCTCAAGGCAACATACTCCAAAAGGACCCCTGCATACTCTTTTTAAAAATGTATTTGAATTTAATAATTGGGACTGATTATTAGTAATCATTATATATAATTTTATATATAATTATATATATAATTTTATGCAAGAAAAGTGAAGTTTTTAAATTACTCTTATAATGCGTGCAGTAGAGGGTTAATTTAAAAATAATCATTTTAATAGTTTATCAGTCCTAAAACCATAAAAGGAGCAGCTATATGGCAGTAATGACACACAATCTTTGGATTGTGAACGTAATGCAACTTTATTTAACCATTTTTTTTTCATTGTTTAAGGTCAAAAGCCTTTCTAGTGTATTACATACAGCACTATAATCAACTGTAAATGGAGCAGCGTAGCGGCAGGAATGATGACAGAGAGTTTTATGTATTAGTCAGACCTCAGCAACCAGAGGGAGATGTTTTGGCTTTGAGGTTTTTCAAATGTAAGCTGATTATGTATCTAAAAAGTACAAGGAAAAAGAACTTGTACACTGTAAATAAGATAACATCATCATAAATTAGTCAGATGACAGCGATAATAGGCAAGACAAGTTTATTTATACAGCGCCTTTCAAACACTGTCATTCAAAGTGCTTTACAAATGAGAGAATTCAGAGTCAGAATCAGTTAAAAAAGTACAGTAAGCACAAATGGAAAAACATAATTGAAAACTACATTAAAAACACATAACAACATGATTAAAACAACAAATTTAAAAGAGAAAACCACTCAATTAAAAATCTAATTACAAATAAGGATACTTAAATAATCAAAATAAAAACCAAGGCTACGTTCACATTACAAGCCTCGTGGCTCAAATCCGACTTTTTTGCTCAAATCCGATCTCTCTGACACGATGGTTCACACTCGTTTAGGTAAGTGATTCAAATCTGTCATTAATGTGACGAACCGGCGTCCTGAAATGACCCTCATGAGCTCATCCTACTCAGTAACGTCACGTGAATGAATCACGTTCATCATCAGCACAAACTAACGAGCAGAACGAGCTTCGCTGAAGATAATTAACTCTGATCAGCTCTCAGCTTCATTATTAGAGCGAGACGAAGGAGAAAAAGGTGAGATGAGCTGCTTTTCCACCGTTTACAGGCTTTAACTTCTGTTCGGCGCTGTTGCCATGGTAACACTGAATGATGGCGCACGTGCAGTGGGAAAAAAGCACATGAATTCCGATCTGAGCGTCATGTTAAGGTCGCATGGCCACGAATCGGATACGTATCCGATCCAGGACCACATATGAAAGTGGCTCAGGTCAGATTTGAAAAGATCAGATTTGTGTCCACACAGCCCTGAAAACA